CCCCCCCCCCCCCCCCCTCCCTCCCCGGTATGTTTTGTTTAGATTTCTCCCGGTGGGGGGTTCTTTTTGAAGGAAATTGCGTGCAAAGAGTGACTTGTGTACATCACAGAAGAACATAAATGAAAAACAAACAACAAAACAAAAACAACACACACATCGGATATAAAAAATAAAAGAAAAAGAAAAAAGAGGGCCAGCAGGGCTCGAGGGAACGGGTGGAGGAACACCCAACGGATCACGCGTCCGCTGCGAGGTGCATTTATGCATAAATACCCACAGCTGCCTTCTTCACATGCAAATTTTATGCGGTAACCTCTTTTTTTTTTTTTCTTTTTTTCTTCTGGTACGTGTGTGTGTGTGTGCTTCTGTAAATTTGTTTCTCACTTCTTTTATGTTTGAATTGGAGACTCTTTGTGGGTGCAGCCTAACAACTTGCAGTATGACGGGTGGGCAACGCCACTGGAGGGGTGGGAGGGGAGGGAGTCTTCTGTGCATTTATACCACCACCACCATTACCATTACCATATGGAGCGGTGTATCATTTTCATGTGTATTTTCTTTTCTTTCTTTCTTGTTGGTGCCTTTTTTTTTTTTTTTTTTTTGTCTTTTCCATCTGCTTGAACCCTTTTTTTATCTTTTCTCTTTCCTTTTTTTTTTCCCCCTCTTTTGTTCGTTTGTGCACGTGGGTTGGCCCCGCTGCAGTGAGGGCGCTGCTTTTAGCAATGCTGGAGAGGGAGCGTCTGCAAGAGAAGGAGCGGAATCCAGGCCTTTTGGGTCGACTTCTCCGCAAGGTGGATGGCTGCGATGTGCGCTTTATCTTTGACGGAAAGATGGATGAGAGCATGGTGACGGTGGACGACCCCTACGAGCGTAAAAGCGAGCGGCTACATTTGTTCTCCGATAACGAGCCGGTGTGCGGTCGTGTGGTGCTCACACCGAAGGGGGCATACCGCCACAACGGTGTCCTTCTGGAGTTAGTGGGGGTCATCGCAACCTTCGAGGAGAGTGAGGAAAAAGTTGAATTTATGCGGCAGGATAAACTTTTTGAACCCGATACATTTCGCTCGGTGACATCGTTGGAGTTTAACTTTGCTGCGCCACGGGAGTACGAGTCGTACCGCGGTATGAATGCCCGTGTGTCGTATTACGTACGTGTCACCATTTACCGCCCCGTCAAAAACATCACAGAGTTGGTGGAGGTGTGGGTGAGTAAAGTGGATGCACACATGAGTGAGACCCAACCAGACGCCTCACGACACCGTAGTTATTTCCGCGAAACGGTATTTGGCCCGCAATCGATATCGATGGACGTGGGCGTTGAGAACTTTCTACACATTGAGTTTAAGTATGACAAGAAGATCTTTCACCTCCAGGAACGTGTATTAGGGAAAGTGACATTTAAAATAGCTGACATGGATATTAAATACGGTGAGGTGGGAGTTGTACGGAAAGAATTTATTGGCCCTGGCAACGCTACAGACATCATGCAAAGTGAAACCCTGCAGAAGTTTGAAATCATGGACGGCACACCGATTGTGGGGGAGGTGGTGCCGATACGCCTGTACCTCCGCTCTATCCCTCACCTCACCCCAACATACCCCAATGTGCATAACTGCTTTCGAGTACTGTACTTTTTGAACTTGGTGCTCATCACAGGGGAAGGCCGGCGGTACTTTAAGCAGCAGGAGATTACATTATATCGTAGACACGGGCAGGAGGCACCCACCGGTGCTGCCACGGAATCACCCTGAGAAGCAAAAAATAAGATATTCACCCAAACACAGATTGCCTTTTTTTTCTCATCTATCATTATGATGATGCATGTCTACATGAGTGTGTGTGTGTGTGTGTATTTATTTGTGTAAGCATGAGCACCGAACTGCCCAGACTTCTCTCCATTACAAAACGTTACATGAAGTGGGAAGGCAAAGTGGAAAAGAAGAAAAAAACAAAAAAAAAGAGGAGGAGGAGGAGGAGGAGGAGGAGGAGGCAACGGAAGAAAAAGACAAATGAGGGAACCAAAAAGAAAAAGACGGAAAAGAACAAGGGGGAGAGAAGAGGAGAAGAGAAGTGTAAAGAAAAAAAAAAGAAAGACGAAATGGAAGGAAGAAGACGTCTTCTTTTTTTTCTTTCTTTCTTTCTTTTCTTGTGTGTTCTCTGCGTCTTTTTGGTTTTAACCATTCTCATGCTTCTATTTATTTATTTATTTATTTATTTATTATTATTTTTTTTTTGGGGGGGGGGATTCTTCCGTGTGCGGCCCCTGGGAAAACAAAAACAACCAAAAATACATGCACACACGAGAGGGGTGTTGACGTGTTTTCCCCCCATCATTGTTAAAAAGGCAAAAGACATCCACATCCACAATAACACTTATTTCCTGCCTTCTTTTCTTTTTTCTTTTTTGTGTGTGTGTTGTTTGTCTGTTTGTTTGTTTGTTTGTTTGCTGTCGCCTACACCACGAAGCATCACACGCACCACTTCATTACACGCTCGGCTAAGCAGCAACCCGACAAGGATTTAAAGCAACAACAGCGCACAGACAGACACACACACAAAAAAAAAAAAAAAAAGAAAAAGGAAAAAAAAAGAAAGGCACGTGACTTATTGGCACATGGGATGTTTGTGCTTGAAAAGAAGACGCTTTTGTCATCTGTCGTAGCCTTTTTTTTAATCCAATGGCTTTTGTATCGCGTGTTTCGTCATCGCCGTGGTGAAAGACTTGTACCGGGCAGCATTGCGGTCGTCACCGGTGGGGGATCTGGCATCGGCCTGGAGTTCGCATATCTTTTTGCCCGGGCCGGCTGCCACGTTGTGCTTGTCGGTCGCAATGCCGAGAATTTGCATGCGGCGCGGGCCTCGTGCTTATCGTTGGGGGCGCCAACCGCCGAGGTTGTCGTGGCAGACCTCAGCACGGTGGAGGGCACCGACAAAGTGGGCGACGCGCTGCAGGGACGGCAAGAGCCCCTCAAGTACGTAGTCCTCAACGCTGGGGCGGGCGCGATTGTTCCCTTTTCAAGTGATCCAAGCTTCAACGATGTCTGTGACAAAATGATGCAGATTAATTACTTCTCCAACGTTCGTCTACTGCAGCACCTATTGCCAGCACTCGAGAAGTCAAACTCCGCGGCCTGTTCGTCGCGGGTCATCGTCTTGTCATCTTTGGCAGGCGTACTGCCTTCAGTGTACCGCTCTGCATATACGGCATCCAAGCACGCCATTCAAGGATTCATGAACGCACTACGCGGGGAGACGGCGGTGCCCATCACGTTGTGCTGCCCCGGTTACGTCGATACAGACTTCCACCAACGGGCCCAACTTACAGGTGCTTTTGCATCCAGCAACACTCGCCGCGGTGTGCCAGCGCACGTGTGTGCACGGGCTTGTCTCGACGGTGCACTTCGCGGGGACGCCGAGGTGCTGACAACACTTTCAGGTAAGCTGGGATACATTCTGCGGCCCATCTTTACGAAATTCATTGATGCCAGGGCGAAGAAGATCAGTCTTCACTCGCTTCAAAAATAATCGGTACCCGCTTCTCACGGCCTTAATGAGTCTATTTTTCTCTTTTATATATATATATATTTCCCACCCACTTCTTTCTCTCTCTTTCTTTATATATACGGAATGCTTGAGCCTGCGCATTCCCCCCCCCAAAAAAAAACACACCAAAAAACAACGTTTTTTATTCATTTCTATTTTTTTTTTTTTTCTTCTTCTTTGCGTGGTGCCTGGAGGGAAGGATCAACAATGGCCAAGTCGAAGAACCACACGAACCACAACCAGTCGCGGAAGAACCATCGCAATGGCATCAAGCGCGCGCTGCCGATGTATCTTCACAACTCGAAGCGTGGCAGCTGGCTGCCGGCTCTCATCAACGCCCGTCGTGTGCGCAAGAACAACCAGAAGGCTGCCGTGAAGGCCCGCCGTGAGCGTCTTGCTGCACACAACGCCAAGCAGAATTAGACCCGGAAGGTCGCGTTGGACTTGAATGGATCCTCTCTTTTCTTTTCTTTTTTTTTTTTTGTTTATTTCTTTTTGTCCTTTTCTTTTTTTTTTTGGTTGATTGCCTGTTGAGGCTAAGAGGAAACAAAACTCTTTTTGTTCCGTCTTCTTTCACCGGGGGTGGACACATTTCTTTGCGGGCATGGAGAGAGTGCGTGTCTTTTGTCGATGCGTTCTCCATCTAATTGGACCTTCTTTTGCCCCCTCCTTTTTTTTTCTTTGGTTTGGTGATTTCCCTGCGAATTAAATACTTCTAAGGAAGTGAGGATCAACAATGGCCAAGTCGAAGAACCACACGAACCACAACCAGTCGCGGAAGAACCATCGCAATGGCATCAAGCGCGCGCTGCCGATGTATCTTCACAACTCGAAGCGTGGCAGCTGGCTGCCGGCTCTCATCAACGCCCGACGTGTGCGCAAGAACAACCAGAAGGCTGCCGTGAAGGCCCGCCGTGAGCGTCTTGCTGCACACAACGCCAAGCAGAATTAGACCCGAAAGGTGTAAAAGGGGAATAAAATGGTATTTTGCATGCACGTGTGTGTGTGTGTGTGATGGGGCGTTCATATTCCCCGTCGTTTCTCTGTGGCTCTCTTGTACTTATTTACACGAGGAGAGACTGGCTCCTGCTTCCTCCTATTTTTTCTTTTTTCTTTTTTTCTCACGCTGACTCTTTCTCTCTCTCTCTCTCTGTGTGTGTGTGTGGCCATCACGCACCTTTTTTCTCATTTCCAAACCTTCTGATGGGGAAAGAGGGCGGCTGTTGGAAAGGCCATCGTTTCTCACATGCAAACACTTTTTTTGTTGTTGTTTTTCGTATCTCTTTTCCCTTTTTGGCGTTGAAGGTAATATTTGGGGGGCATTAGCAGGTGTTTATACATTATACATATATATATATATATACATATATTGGGGGAGATTAGAGCGTGTGTTTGAGAGTGTGTTTTTGCCTGTGCCAGTGTAGTCCGGTAGCGACTCCCACATCTTGAAGGGGGCAGGAGTAAAAAAAAAAAGAAAAAAAAAAAAAAGAAAAGTACTGTTGGTATCTAAATGTGGCGTCGCACGGCCCATCTTGCACGCACACCTGTCAGCGCGTTCCTACACGAGCCGTCCCAGCGGAAGACGTTTGAGGAGACATTAGCGCAATGCAGCGCGAATGGAACGGATATGGCGAGCAGCCTGACATCTGACTTTGCCTCTCTTCAGTCAAAGTTGTTGAAGTATCGAATTGTTCGTCTGCGGGACGAGCTGCAGTACGTGCGGCATAATCCTTTAGCTAGTCTACCCTCCCCTGGTGACCTGTTAAAGCACACGGTGTTGCTGACGCTAGTCTTTCTTTTATTTCGGAACCTCGGCCGTCTTTCTTTCCGCCCGCTGGAGCCGGTGACAGATCCTGCCGACGCAACGACAACAGAAACGACGGAGATGAATACAACGGCAGGAAATAATTAAGAGAAGAGAAAACTAACAGAGAGAGAGAGAGAGAGAACAAAAACGGGAAATGTGCTCCGTGCATGGGGCACGAGAGGGAGGAGGGTAATGATGATGAAAATATTGATTGTGGCGGCGTTGGAAAGGATGCATTTTTGTGTGTGTGTGTGTGTGTGTGTGTATATGTTGGGCGGTGGAGATTTTGTATTGTTGTGCTGCTGAAGGTGGAAGTAGCGGACACGCTCTCCCTTTTTTGTTGTTGTTGATGATGATGGCTATTATTTGCAGGTGTAAGAAAATCCAAACATGCTTTGTATGTGTTTATCTCATTTTACGAAATACATTGAGGGAGGGAGGGGGGAGGTAAGCCTGTGGAGGGAATTTCTTTGCTTGTTCGTAAATGAAGGGTGGCTATTGGCTCCCTTTTGGGTTAATGCTTGCGTGTTTCTTTGGCATCGCATTGCATATACACGAGTGTTGCACAACACACACAGAAAACAGAGAAAATACATGAACGACATCCACGGCCCGTCAGTGACTCCCCCTATTGTTTTTTTTTCTTTTCTTGTAAATATGTTTTCTTGTGTGTGTTCCGCGACAGGCATCATGCACAGGCATTTTTACATTAATATCAGGCATTTGTTTATTGTAAATGTTCCCCATGAATGCACATCATATACGGATGGATCGATGTATGTTTGAGTATGTGCGTGCGTGTGTGTGCCTCTTTTTTTTTTTTTTCTTCCCTCTTTTCTTTTGATTTGTTTTGGTAATAAGTGCGACACAACGAGGGTCCGCATTCCTGTAAAGTAATCCAAGAGACATCATCATTATTCTCGACAGCTGCCGAGAAAAAGGGAAAGAAGAGGGGGCACAGTGGGATACACAGAGACAAGGGGCGCAAAGGAGGGGGGAGCGGAAAGGAAGCGAAATACGGCGCTGGTTGGTGGGGCGGGATGACGTTGCGTCGGCTCGTCAAGCGGCCAAAGATCACCAACTTCCAGATGCTCCTGATGCGCCGCCGTGAACCGTACAAACCAACTATGAAAGATCGCCACGAAATTGAGAATCGTGAGAAACTTGAGCGCTTTGAAACGAAGGCCGCAGAGGGAATTATGTTCGTTCCAGACAGGGTCTTGCCGCCATGGCAGAAGTCACTCGCTAAGAACGCTTATGCGAATGCATCACGCATGAATTTTAGGGGGTTCCGCGTGCGTGTGGCGGACAAGCAGGATGAACCAGGCTTCCCAACTCCATTTCGTTGATATTGCACCCACACGTGTGACTCTGCGTGTGCGCGGGGTGGGGAGTTCTGCTGGAAGCCCATACATCTGTTAGTGTTGTTTTTTGTGCGGTGTTGCTTTCCCGTAAAATCACGGTTGATGTTTTGCATGCGTGCTCATCACGGAGGATGAACGGTGCTTTTTTGTGTTTTTTTTTTTTTTTCTTGCCTTGTATGGTAGACGCATGTATACACCGGTTTGTACCGCCGTGATCATTATTTATTAATTCTTCTGAACGGAATAGTTCTGCGTGTAAATGTCTCTGCATTGTTGTTGTTTTTTTAGTTTTTTTTTTTTTTTTTCTTGTCTTAAATCTTCCGTGACATTTGTGTCTGTGTGGGGTGCGTTGGAAGGTTGAGATAGGGGAAGGGAAAAGAACGAGAAAGGACAAATCCACGCAATTTGCCGGCGACGTCGATTTTGACACGAGCGGGAGGGAAACAGAGACGCAAACTCTTTTTTTTTTTTTTTTTTTTGCCTGACATCTCGTTTCTTTTTATTTTGTGTGTGTGTGTGCCGTCATGCCAATGGATGTGCCGCCAAATATTCACCACGTCGGTGAAGTGACCTCCACGATGGATGCCGCGCGTCAGATGTTGACTGCTGCGAATGGTGCTCCCTTTGCCGTTCTTGCAGAGTCGCAGGTGAGGGGGCGTGGCACGGGTGAACGTGTGTGGATTTCACCAAAGGGCAACATGTACTTCACGCTTTGCATCCCCGAAAAAAGTGTCACGCCGGAGATTACTCCTGTCTTACCGCTCCTCACGGGGCTTGTCTGCCGTGCCGCCATCATGAGTGTCATCAAAGGGGCCGATGTACATGTGAAGTGGCCAAATGATATTATATACGCCGGGAAAAAGATTGGCGGAAGTCTCGTGGAGAGTGAGGGAGAGAGCCTGATTATTGGGATTGGTATGAATGTCGAGCTGGCGCCGCCGGTGACGGATAGCGGTCGGGCGTCCACCACCGTCAATGAGGTTGCGGCAACTTTGGGGCAGCCAAAAGTCACACCAGCGCAGCTGGCGGAGCTTGTCTGGAAGCATTTCTTCCAGATGATTTCAGACACGGCGTTGACACGCAAGATCCTTGTGACGAGGTTTGACGCAGCGATGGACAAAAGTCTTTCACTTCATCGCCGCACGCCAACGGGACGTGATCCGGAGGAACTACGCGCCCTGCGGCTGAATGAGTGGGGACATCTCATCGTCTCGAGGCCGGACGGCACGGAGGACACTCTCATGGCGGAATACCTTTTTTAGCCTCTGGAAGTGCGCGTGTGTGTTTGTGTGCGTGTGGGCGATGATGGATGGGAGTTGTCACCACCACGTGCGGCTGATTACTGCCCCATCGATTGCATACGTGAACCACAGCGCCGTTTCTCTGTGTATCATTACAAAACAATAACAAAAAAAAAAAAAAAAAAAGGGCTTTCGTAGAGAAAACGTGCGGCCACACGGGGCCAAATAAAAATAAATAAATAAATGAAAGTGTGTTTTTTTTTGTTGGTCGTAGGCGTTTTTTTCCTTCTTTTTTTTACGTGTGGATTGGGTTGTTTCTTAAGATGCCGCGAGGGAAGGCAGGAAGTGGAGGTCTTTTTTCCTTTTGTTCCACTCTCTTTCTACTGCTGCTCTCCACGAGGGGAGGTTGGGAGGTGGCGGGGCCTCTTGATGAATGCCACGTTGTCCTTTTCACAAAGAGGCCCGGTGATCATTGCGGTTTTTATTTATGAACACATCCTTCTACGTTTGCGCATGCGTGTTTGAATGGGTCTCAGTCGGAGTGTGGGGGATGTTGGGCGCATGGAACCAAACGGTCATCTCCGCCCGTTGTGTCGTCCGCTCCGTCTTTGTGGGCACGCGGGCCTCAGCTAAGCGCACATGTCTACACTCTTGATCGCTAGCAGGTGTTGGTACAATATTTTTTTTTTCCTTGAACGACTACATTTTTTTTTCTTTTCTTTTTTCCCTCTTGCCCACCTTCTTTTATTGACGTTTTAATTTGTCACTCAGCGTGTGCCGTCGCTTGAGTTTTGGATAACGCGGCACGTTGTGAGTTGAAGTGACGATCCGCGTTGCCTCCAATTGAAACCGGGAGGGGGACAACACCAAAATAAAAGACGTCACGACAGAAGGAAGCATGGGCTCTACGGGTCGGAAGGCCGTGGACGAGGTCAACCACTGGATAGCTTACATTGACTGCGCACTCTCTCACCCGCATCCGCTCCCAAAGGGAAAACACGTGTTCCGTAGTGATCTCAGTACCGTCCCGGAGGTTCGTGACATCTACGACTGCCTGTACAAACTTTACGCGGAGGAGAGTGCATCGGCGTCCTTTCGGGAGCCTGTAAACGCACTGGAATTGGGTGTTTTCAACTACTATGAGGTTGTGACGGAGCCCATGTCGCTGCGTACCGTGCTAGACCGCATTGCCGAGGGGGGTCACTACTCTCAAGCTTCTCAGGTGTTGGCAGATGTGGAGAAGATTTGGAGCAACTGCGAGAAGTATAACGGCGCCGACTCCGCTTTGGTTAAAGAGGCCAAAAAATGTCAGGGGATACTGGCAAGGCTGCGGGAGCGTCTTGCGGAAGAGCAGCCTGCGCCAAACGCCGAGCTAGACAAAATAATCAGCGCCTTTGAGAGCGCGGATGAGTCCGTCTTGGGTGAACTGGAGGCGTACTTTCGCAGGGAGGACCCTTCTCTCATCATCAGCAATGGGGACGTTGATTTGACGGCGCTGAGGGTGAAGCACTTGAAGGCCATGAAAGCCATTCTTGAGCGTGCGATGAACGGCGGTGGAGGACGAGGATGAAGTGATGTGTCACCACAACACAACGCACACAGACACAAAAACACTGCGCTTGCGGCACCGTTTGCGGGTGGAAAAGGGAGGGGGGAAGAGAGCGTGTGCACATGAGTATGGATGCCTGTGTGCACATATATATATATATGTGGTCATATGATTTACTTCAAAAGACCAGTTGAAGAATAAGAGAGAGAGAGAAAGGGAGAGAAAAAGAAAAAAAAAGAAAGGAATAATGTCAATAGGGCGGATTGTGGCAAAAACCTTTACTGCAGTTAAAATGCCGGGTTTTTATGCACCTTCCTTGACCTTTCTGCTTTCAAGCACATATTCTCATGGCTAATGGGGTGTGTGAGTGCTTGGGTGGGTTGTATGGGATGTTTCTCTGTGTCGGTGTGATAGAAGGGACGATGAATTCATAGAGAAGATGGAAGAAAAAAAAAAAAAAAAAAGGCACAGTTTTATTCATGTGCATGAGTTTGTGTTGGTGTATTTTATCTGCTGGCCATCTTTTTCCTTACCTCTTTAGCACCGCATACATACACATTAAAAATGCGCCTTAATAAAGCTCCACTCTCTCTCTCTCTTTTTTTTTCTCTGATTCTTTCCCCTTCCCCCCCCCTTCTCACGGGGTAATGCACATTTGGCCCACAATCTAATAGGCTTATCTCTCTAACGGTAAAACCTATACACACAGTTGTATATGATTTTTTACTTGATTGTAAGGAAGCGGTAATAAGAGGAGGAGAGAGACAACAACGACGGTCGCGTAATAAATATGGCGGATGTAGGAGGGAAGTCGCCACATGCCGAGTTTCTTGCGGCCATGACGCGGCTTGAGAGCGCCTTGAAACGCGACTTGGAGGCGATTCTAAAGCGACAGGCGAGAGCATTTGCAGCGGAACAGCCATCGTCGTTCAGGGAATTTTTGTACCCCAACGAGGAGGTGGTGGTACCACAGCGGATTTTGGCGTTGCGTGCCAAGCGTGGTGCCATTACGAACACGATGATGCCCCCAGAAGAGGAAGGATTTGAGTAGCAGCGGAAGATGATGAGCCTTTCCGTTATCCGTCCACAAGGGAATGCTGTGCACTCATGTATGCTTTTTGCTATCCACAATATGTGGAACGTCGGCGTGATGTACCAGCCACCAAGGCTTTCTGGTTTATTTGTACATGTACATGCATGCATGTATACAGAAATATATGTATATATTTTTTCTTATTTCCTTTATTTTCTTGTTATTTACTTTTTCTTTGCAACGCTAGGGACTGTGGTGTGGTCGGCGGAAGCAAGGCCATTAAGAAAGGAAGGACACAGGTGCGGATAGTGTTTCCGGTGCTGAAACGTTTTTAAACCGCATCCGTCTGTAGGAGAAAAAAGACTGAATAGCGTTAATACACATAGAGGGAGTGAAGGAGGAAGCAGGTTCTAGAGGATTATGTTGCGTCTTTGTAAAGTGTGGCTGCGGGTGCAGTCGCACCAGAAAAAGCGGTCGCAGCACCCCAACGCAGGCACACGGTTTGGTCGTGTGTACAACCGTGGGTTTATTCGGTACGGTTTTGGTGGCTTCGGCATGAGTGTTTACACACCTAAGAAGGATCGCACCTTTCGTGTCCAGCCGCTACCCCTTTTGTCTGGAAACGTGTTTGCAGACGACACATCTTTGGTGCCCACCACAAGAACGTTGTCTCCTAACTTTCGTGCCTTTGCGCTGCAGGACGGCGGAGTACTTTTTTCTCACCCGTCCCATGAACAAATTATGCGCTGGGGACAGGGCGTGCTGACGGAGGAGACAAAGGCCACGGGTATGACTTCCATGGACAACTACGTCAACTCCCGTATTCAGTCTATCATAGCAGAGAACACTGTGGAAAATGTTGCGCTAAGTCATTGGCGTCGGCGACACATGTGGAACCTTATCAAGTCACATGGGAAACTGCAGCGACGATGGGGCGTGTCGGATGAAACGAAAGGTGCCCGTTCAAACATTTACGGCCGCTCGGGATGAATTTAGTCATTTGGGTGGATTTTGTCTCCTTTGTAACGTCCCGTATAATGTGACATGCATGCATCTATGATCTTGGCTTATGTGTGTTTTTATGTTCCTTTTTTTTCTCTTTGTGGGTTCGTGTGCATGTGTGAATCTGTTGGGGTATAATACCTTTGTTGTTGTTGTTTTTGATGATAATGGCAGTGGAGAGGCAGTGTGTGGACTCGTTTGCATATTTCTTATATGCATTCAATACCTTCCATTTGTGTTTGTGTTTGTGTTGTACCCGCAATGCACATCTTTTTTTTTTCTCTTGCAATGATTCCTTTACTCTTTTTATGCGTGTTTACTTATTTGTGATGGTTATTGCCTTTTTTTTTGTGTTTATTTTCTTTTGGGGGATTGTTCTGTTAGTTTTTAGCATCAAATTAGGATTGGCAAAAATGATACATCCTTTTGCTTTAGTTTTTAGTGGGCTTTTGACGTCATCGGCGATGTTGGGCGGCCACCTACCTGCCGCCGTATTGCTTATTTACATGATGCTCTTGCGAAACCCCAAATGTGCCACATCACCGATAGTTCTTGTTTTGGCGTTTCTCTTTGCTGTCCTGCAGCTGCTCTCCACGCTTATCGTAAATCTCCTCGTTGCCTTCTCACCGAGTACGCGGGGAGGGCTCTTTGTGCATCACCGTGTCCTCATTGAGTCTTTTGGCATCTATGAGGCGGGGCCGGGCGTCAAGGCATGGATCCTCGCAGGAGCCTGCGTCCCTTCCGGCCTCATTTGTGTGTATATTATTTATTTTAGAAAAAAACTTTTAAGCCGCATCTCCATGGGGCGTGTGCGCCCACTGTTGACGACCGTCTCTTGGGCACTTATGAGCGTCGCGACGGGATTGATTTTCCCGACCGTTTTGGCTGGTGTTCTCCTGGTGATTGGCATGATGGCCCTCTCGTGTGTAGGGCTGGGAGGAGCCAGAACGATATTTGGTGCGGCGCGCTCTCGTCCTCGTCGTTTTCTGCTCCTTTTCTTGCATTTTTGCTCGTTGTGTGGGACATTTGCGAGCTGCATCATTTTGGTGGCTTCGTGCGTTTCTCAAAATGCCGCTGTGGCATGTGCTTTGGACAACTTGGACCCCATGTATGGCTTGAATAAATTGTACGAACAACCAGCAGACATCGCCATTTGTCGCTTTGTGCAGCTCTGCCTCATGATGGTGACACTTTTTCTCGCGCAGATGGCCATGGAGTGCCATGGAAAGGAATTACAACAGCAGAATGCAGGGGACCCGCTTCTACGTGAGGAGGTGTCAAACAACAATGCTCGCGTGGTCGAGGGTACTCAGGGTACATCCGTGGCGGTGGTTTTTAATCATGCCGATGTGCCATCGGCTCCTAATTTTGCTTCTGCTGCCGTTCCTTCTCACTCGAATCATCATTTAAGTCGTCCGTTGAACGTACCGCACGGGCTCTCCCTAGCAGGACACTCGTCACCAAACAGTAGCGCAGCCTTTGGCACGAATTATTTAGAACGGGGTTTAGTTGTCTGTGGGAGTCTCGGCACGTGGATGATGCGGAAACTTTTTGCCAGTTCCCGTATGCTACCACTGGCATTCATGGCTGCGAACATGGTGGCTTTCCCCAGTGTCGTCTCGCTGAGCCTTTTGCCGACGATGATGTTAGGGCAGCTGGTGCGATTTCATTTCTTCGCGTCTCTCCTGCGGCCAACGTTGGTTTTGAATTTTTTTCTTGTCAATGTGCAGTACGTTGTGCTCGCCACTGCTTCGATCCAGCCGCCCATCGTACGGCATCTCTTTCTTGGTGACGAGGGACGGTGGTGGGGTTTGGCACAGGTGATCTCCAGCGAGATTATATTTCTTGCTATGCTTGCAGCCGATGCGGCGATTCGTCAGCAGTACCGTCTTGCCCATTCAGAGGAAGATCACCCGGACGAAATCGTCGTACCGCACCCCCCGCCATTGCCATCAATTGCCCCATCATCACCAACGGCTTCACACGTGACTCGAGAATTTGTTGCGTTGAGCGATGGAAAAGACAGTTCTAGCGAAAGTGGCGGCGATACCTCTTTGGACTTTCTGGGGATATGGCGACATGCGGAATTCAAGTTGGGGGCCCGACGTGTAGCAGAACTGCTTGCGTACGTTCCTTCTGAGCCGCTCGAAAGCTCGGAGGCATTTGAGCAACTTTTTTCTTTTCTGGTTGGGCGTCGGCCTACTGCTGAGGAGGAGAAGTGCCTTTGCAAAGAGGGAATTGGCGATGCCCTCCTACGCGAGAAGCTGCATGACTCACAGAGCCCTCTCCTATCTTATTATGTGCATTGGGCGGGGATTTTATTAATGCGTCATGCTGTTCTCATTGCCCTTTTACTTCTCTTTATTGTGGGATCTTTTACGTATCAAATGGACATACTACACGCGATTGTTTTGTTGCTTTTTGTCCTGTACTTTTTCCTTCCAGACTCGATGGACGATGCATGGATGTTTGTGGTGATATATCTCATGCTTTTAACATCCTTTAAACTTATATTTACATTTGTGAGTGAGTTTGTTACGCTTTCTGTTTACATTGCAGGCAGTCCATTACAGTACGCCACTGTTGGGTTGGTTCCACTACGTTCGCGTTACGAGGCTATTCCGTATGTAGTAGCTGTCTTTATTTTGACGTTTTTATTCTTGAGAATTCGTGTATGTCGTTCTTGGGGAACAGCAGTGTCACTGCACGAGTGGGACCGTTTTTGCCACTCCAACACTGCCCGCCAGTGGTCCATGCGAGTCACAATGACGGTTGCCACGACGGTGTTTGTGGCACTAGGCGTCTTCTTGCATTACTCATTCATTGTGGAAGGGTTTCTTGCACTTTTTCTTCTTCTCACCATATCGGCAGCCGCATTTTCGTTATCGGGCGCATTTCTCGGGGTGTTGTGGTCTGTTGCATGTGTCTACAGCGGCATTGTGGTGGTGGTTACCTCCGTGTGTCAGTTCACGCAGCTTGCAGATTTAATACGGGAGCACGTCTTCCAACGCCTATGCGGTCATGATGGGGACGGCAGCGGGAATTCCACAAATGCCAGGCGGTGTGAGCAGGAGAGCGGGTTGTATCCGGTGCGTGAGGACATGCCACTCACATTGTTTCTCGCCCCGTGGTTTCTCGCCTTTGCTACGGCGATGTTGCATCGTGCCGTGAAGCACGTGAGGGAGACACCGCCTCGATGGGCGCGACAACCCGACGGATCGGGTGGGTTGGTGGGAATGACGGTGGAGCAACAAGAAGAACAACCGAAGCGAGGGGAACAGAGTGAGGGTGAGCAGCGGGTTGTGCCTGTGGAGTGCGTGTCTCTGCCGTGCTTGGAGAGCGACGACCAGCGTTTTATCCGGCACATGTTGAGGCTACTTGCAGTTATGGACAAACTCGGGGACTGGATTGCCGCGTTTGGTTCGGATTATGGTGGAATTTTGGTTTGGGTATCGCTTTTTTTGGCCGCCACGTATCGGTTTACTGCGATTGGCTCAGTCTACATGCTGTTCTTCCTCCTTGACCTTACCCATATCTCTGTGTTGGTGTACTGTGTGCTGCACATCCTTGTTCTGTACACGTACAAGTTTTCCTTTGTTCCTGAAATTACGTACAGTATCTATAATGTGCCGCTTGCTGCAGTGATTGGCTTGGAGAAAAAAGGTGGCAACGCACTCTTTGAACACGTCATTGGCCCAGTGATTGTTTTCTTTGTCATGCTGCTTCGTATTCATACATGCGGGGCCAACAGGGAAGTGAGACGTCGTCAGCGCACGGAAGGGCCGGAAAGTAGCAATTGGAAGAGTGTTTTATGCACACAACTTTTTTTTTACGCCGGATATGAGGGTTTGGTGTTGACGCTGCTTTTGGTTCTTGCCTGTTCCAGTCATTCGTGCATTGGAGCTTTCGTGGGATTGGCAGTGCTGCCCCTGTTACTGGCGACGGGACGGCAGCAATTACATCGCGTCTCTTACTCCTTTCCGCTGCTGCTGCTGCTTTCCCTTATGGTTTTGTGGCAGTACGCACTCCTTTTAAACGCCGCACACAGGTTATTTCCTGCGATTGCAGATTACTCTGAAGCCAAGGAAACGGATGGCATGTGGGAGTATTGGGTCTTTACGTCACGATATCACACTCTCCTGGGGTGTGTTTTAGGCATCATGCTGCTCCACACAAGTCGGCAGCAATCGGGTGACACTGCCGTATCTTTCTCTATGCTTCGATCCCAATTTAATGGGCATGTGACACTTGTAAATTTTGTGCGTGCGGCTTCTGTGGGGTCGCTTCAACTTTTACCACGTGACACGTTTGATCTTGTCGTCCCGTCTTTTGTTGAGTCTCTGCCGCCAAGTTGTCTTGGGCGTGTGACGACGTTTATGGTCTTTGCCGTGTCGTATTTGTGCCCCGTAGCCTTTTTGTCATTTGCCGCGGGTGTGATGTCGCAGCCTTCCGTCATCAATCTTCTTCTTATTATTGGTGGGCTGCTGCAGGTGGCGCAGATGGAGATGCTGCATTGGACCTTCTTTTCTCTCTGGCCATTTATAACGATGGCGTACTGGTTTCTCATCACCCTCACTGTCGTCTGCAATGCACCGTATGTGCGGCAGTTTATCCTGGAACATTATGGCCTTAGTGAGGTCTTGGGTCTCCTGCAGGCAGGCAAGCCCTTCCAGCTGGGCTCACTGCACGTGTTGCTTCTCTTTATGGTGACGCTGCAAACACGCGTGTATGACGAGTTCCGCTACACGAAGCTTCTGCGGCACCTGTACGACCGTACGGCCACGCGGCATACTCGACACGAGGAGTTATGGGCTTGGCTAAGGGGAAAGCAGGAGGCGGAGCAGCAGTTGGCGGATGCTAGGAGCCGAGCCCTTCACGCAAAGCTGGAGGAGATACGGAGCACATTGCACGGGGCCCATCACGCATGGGTGCCGGAGGACAGTTCCACCCAGAAATGTTCAGCCAATGCGGTAACCAACAGCCAACAATTAAAGGATGAAAAGATGATGATGATGATGGCGCGTCAGCGCATCGCCGACGATGATGATGACACGGCTGCGCGGCTGAAAAGGGAAGAAGAAGAAGAAGAAGAAGAAAAAGAAGAAAGATCAGCGAAGGGGAGTATGTTGACAGACGATAAAGTGAAGGTCTCAAAAAAGAAATCCGAAAAGGGCGGCACATGTGCACACAAATTCAAAACAGGTCTCCAACGCATCATTCACGTGAGTGCCACAAAATTAGCCAATTGGCTTGCGGTGCATACATATGAACCACATCGTCACACGGCCGCACATTATCGAGGGCTCTTCAGCCGGCTGTTTTGGGTTACTATTCGAGCCTTGGAGCGGCATACAGTGATGGTGGTACTCCTGGCGACGATGATCAATTTTATGCTTTCACAATGTGTGTGGGAATTACTGCCATTCTGTTTCATGCTTGTGGTGGCGATCGCGTACCATCCGTTTCCGCCACGTCCTATTTTTGTATTCTTTTCTTTCTACGTGGCGCTTGGAATTCTACTGAAGGCGCTGATTGATGTCGTACTCGCGCAGGTTTCCTATTCTCCAGGGCTTCTCAAAATCCTGGGGTGGACGATTCTGCACGTGTCGGAGGGCGCGTATTGGAAGCAGCGGATTGGGTACTCATATGTGATGATGGACTTTGTTGTCTTTGCGACGCTGCTGCTGCATCAAGACATCTGTTTGGCAAATGGCGTCTATAGCCGAAAGGACATTCTGCGGTCCAGGGAAGGTGAGCAAGCTGCGGGGAACACAAAAGGTACCAATAACGATCCTCTTCCTCCTCCTTCTCCTTCTTCGTCCGTTCCTGCTATTTATTCACCGTCTTCGTTTGGGGATGCCGCATCCGGGACGGAGCAGCTGCCAGCAGGCCGGTCTCCGATGGAAGATCCCATCAGACGCAGCCGCACGTCATGTATGATGGGGATATACAGAAAAGTGTGTTTGGCCGTGTTGGGTTTTGTGCGGAATGCCACCTCCATCCCCGGTGTCGGTAGAGACTGGTACATCTACTATTCGACCGTAGAAGCCATTGCCCTGCTGGTGTTTGTTTTTGGCTACAACAAGTTATCCGGTTGGGTGGAGGATACCCTTCAGGAGAGTGTCAAACGGAATCTTCTCCCCGGCCCAATGGTCACAGTGGTGCTTGTCTCCATCCTCTACATGATCGCAGATCGCATGTTGTACGTCACACAGTGTATGAAGGGGAAGCTACTGCTGAACACAGTGACGGGCGTTGCCTACTGCATTCTTTATATGTTATGGGGAAACCTCCTGACGGTTTCGTCCCGTGTCGTGGGGAACTTGTTTTTCACATTGAAGATCCTTGCCTTGACAATTGCGGTGATTCAGGTGCGGGTTGGGTATCCGCGACATCGTCGTCATGATCCATTTACATGGACAGCCGGCCGGTCGGGAATTGCAGGGTATTTGTATTTTTGGTACCGCTGCCTGCCGTTTCTTTGGGAGATTCGTGTGGTGACCGACTGGACGGTGGAGAAGACGTCGCTTCATCTTGACAATTACCTCAAGATCGAGGACCTATACGATATTGTCTTTGAGCGTCAGTGCAAATTATACAACGTATGCAAGCAGCGGCAGGCGCTAGGCACGCCTATACCCCGTTCCACAAAGGTCACTGCTGGTCTCTCGCGTCTTGTCCTATTTGTGGGGGCGCTGATGGTTCCGCTTGTGTATTACTCCACCTTTAACCCCTCGATGCAGTCCAATGAGGTGACGCAGCTGCGAGTGGGCCTTTCGTTTATGTCTTCGCAACCTTTTTATGCATCAACGACATTTACCGCGGAGGAGATTCCGAATGAATGGTCCTTGTGGTTGGCCCGCACACGTCCCTCGCTCGATCGGAATGGAATTATGAACACGAAGAAAACGCTGCAGCTGGTCAATGTAAGTTCATGCAGCAACGAACTGTGGCCCATCAGCCCGCAGGCATATGGGCGGCTTAATGAACAGCTCATGGAGGTGATGGAAAACAAAACGACAATGCAGCTTTTTCAGACTATTGAACTCTCACGCAGCGGCACGTCGAATTTTGTCTCGCACACACAAAGCTGGACTTTCTCTTGGGAAGCTGCCCGTGACATTCATCGCATGTTGAACAATCCGACCACGAATGGCACGGGTTACGTCAAGTTGCAAAATTTCTACACGCCTTTTCTTTTTAGCCATCCGGATGGGTTAGCCGCCTTTGATGGTGGAGGCGGAGTCAATGTCATGGATTGTAGTATTCTTCTTCGGCAGGAGGTGGACTCTGTGCTAAACAACACGGTCCGTTACTGGTGTGTTGAGTGCCAATCTCTCTTCACACATGGGAATATCCCGAATAGCAACAAAACACGCTTCCCGGAGTGGGGATGCCTCTCTACCGGGGAGGGCTGCAGCAAGTTTAACTTTGAGCGACGGAATGGGGATGTCAACTACAACCCGGTTCCTATGTACTTTGTGGTACTGTCTGATCCCTCCGTTGGTGGCGTGCCATTTCTGCAGGGCATTGGCATTGTTGCTCTCTACACGACGTTTGTTCTCGCCCTTGGCCGTATCTTCCGCGGCATGTTTGCAAACAAGGCCAAGTACACGATCCTGAGTGACATGGCGGACCCTACTCCGATCGCCCAGCTGATCGAGTACATTACCGTGGCCCGGGAGTGTGGAGACCTGCCGCTCGAGCAGTCCGTGTATATTGAGCTGGTCGATCTGCTGCGATCACCCGAGCGGCTTCTGCGCCTGACGGGGTTTAACCGGCAGATGTATGACGCGGAGACGGACGTCATTCAGTCCCCGCACGCCACCCCGAGCAACCGCATGACAGAAAACCTTTCACATCGCGGCGACGCACTGAGGGGGCCCGAGGCGGGGATCGCCCCCGCTGACGATGCCAAAAGGGAAGTGAACGCTGCCGGCCACGAAAAGAAGGAGTAAATTTGGCCACAAGCACATGGTTGGAGGATTGACGCGGGAAGCGTGGCACAGCCAAAACACATAAAAATATACAGTAAGTATATACATATATACAAAAAATACCGTAGTCAGCGGCCCAGACGGATAGAAGAAAAAAAAAAAAAAAGCGTTTCGTGCGATTTCCCTTTCTTTTTGTGTTTTTGAAAGTGACTTTATTTGGCATCTGAAAGTTTATATATAAATAATATATATAAAGAAAAGACGGTTTATTTCCTCTCTTTTTACGATAAAAAAAAAAAAACAACAGGCGAAAAAAGGCGTGGAGTGGGGGAAGAAAAATGTTTGTTTTTGTGCCTCTTCTTTTTTTTTTTTTTTTTGTGTGTGTGTGAATTGTCACTTCAACATGCCTGCAATGGAATGCCATTTCTGGTTGCGCTTGCGTCTCTGTGAGGTACACGCGTAGCGAGAGGCAAGCAAGGTAAGGAAGATCAATCAACGAGAGCGGGGAGAAGTTGGGAATTGTCATGTCCACTCCGTTGTGCACGGTGTACGAGAACACAATTGGAGGCACGCGGCCACGACGCCACATAGCTCCGCAGATACGCACAGCCGGTCGTGTCGTTGGCCGTGACTGTGGCACCGTCGCGCAGTTGACATCCAACTATTACTCCTCTGGCCGCGTTACACCAGACCTCATCAAGTTCCACAGACGTGGCGGGGAAGTGGGCCGCACGTACCGCCACTACGGCATCGCACGTGATCCACCAGTGGATGAGTCAATACGCCATGGTATTAAAAATGATGTCAGCGAAAGTGCATTGTTGTGTCTTCAGCCTGACACGAATCATCTTTCAGCGTTGATGAATGAACAACTGGAGCGCAGGTATCTTTCCTCCATTCGCCGTCCACTCGGTCGCGCGCCGGCACCACCGTATGAGGTACGCGTCCCTCGCGACGGGTTTGGTGTGCGCTCTGACCCCAGCGAAAGCGTCAAGCGAGTTATGTACGGCGGGAAGGATGTTGACGTTCTGCACCCTGTCGGCGAGCGCAAGGATCGCGGCTACGACTGGGAGAGCATTGGCATCGACCCCACGCAACACCGTTTTGGGGCGACATTTGCGAAGGACGCCATTACAGCAGCGGATGTGATGTGTGAGAACCGCCCCATATCGACGGCGTTTCCGAAACTTGTGAAGGACCACAAAACGGCGGTGAAGACGGAGCTTGGTAGACCCCGCACGTACGGCTTTGATAACTCCGCGTTTGAAGAGAAGGCAGAAAAACTTGCCGTGCGCCGTTCACGCCGTGGGGATGGTGACGCCGCACGCGAGTTGCTCAGCAGCTGGGCGCAACACCCTGCAACGGTGCAGGCACGCGAGGAGCAGTCCGCACGCGCCGCGGCCTCCAAGACGGGTTTGATGGGAGATGGCACCAAAAATACCACCACCACCACCACCAACAACACTGACAGTGACGGCATCGATGGTGGCAGCGGCAGGTTCCGTTCGCGGTTCACGTCTACGTTTGGCAGCAAGAGAGCTGACGGGCTCGTGGCCTTAACGGAGTTAAAGGACGAAGCACGCGTGCCGCACCTCTTGTATCCGTCTCATTATGTCCAGCTCGGCGTGAAGTCCGAGTACTTTGCGGGTGGTCGACCGCTTGAAGACATACGGAGGATCTCAAAGCAGGTTGACTTTGGACTCACCGACAGTCAAATCGACGATGTTTTTGCCAGCATCGCTCAGGATGGCGTGTGCGGCATTGAGCAGTTTAAGAACAAGGCGGTGGCGATGGGGTACTTGGCGTGACACTTCCCCTTTCTGACAGGGGACCGGTCTTTCACGCACTGCATACGGCCATCTTATGTACCAAATGAGGGGGGAGGGAAGAGGAATGAAAGGCAGACATTCGCCCTCTTTCTCTCCCTTTTTTCCCTTTTATTTTTAATATCAAAAAAGCAAAAAAAAAAAAAAAAAAAAAAAGGAAATGGAAAAAAGGCATTAGAATTATCGCCAAATTCCAACAGTCGAGGCAGTCATGAAAACCGACGACAGTGAAACGAAAAGACAAAACGATGTAAAAAAAAAAAAAAAAAAGGGAGAAAAAAAAAGAGGTCACCGCTGCGGTCGGCTGTACAAATGCACATATTTTGTGTACATGAGTGTCCTTCTCTTTCGTTATCTTTATTTATGTGTGTTGTGTTGTGTTGTCTTTCTTTTGTAATGACTGTGAGTCTTTCCGTCATGTTTAATATATGATTTCTTCTTCTCCTCTTTCCCCCCCCCCCCCCTTTTTTTTTTTTTTCTTCGTTACATTACACCTACCCACCCACGTCATGGTCAGGAAAGGAGAAAAAGGTTCCAGGGATTTTATTGCTCTCTTTACTCTTTACTCTTTTACCTCCGGGTAAATCGTAAGCGTTACGCAGGAGTCAAAAGGTTCTAACAAGAAACTAATTCTCATCCTCAAGCAATTCAAGGAAGAGGCGAGTAAAGAGGAAACGTATTCAAAGGCATAAACACGGAAAAAGAAAGGAGATAGAACCAGAGGGGGAAAAAAAAATATAATAATTAAAAAAAACAAAAAAAAACAAAAAAACAAAATGCTTCGTCGAACATTGTGGAATGGGATGAAACCTTATTTGCATGCTTTTTCTCCTGGCGCACGTGCCTCTGAGAAGGGTATGCTGTATCGCAATAATAATATGAACGCTCATGCGCGTGTGGCATCCATTCAGCAAGCGCAGCGCACCCACCGTGAGGGAAAAATATTTCTTATGCTTTTGGTGCCAGATCAAATATTTCTTTCTGCGGCCCTTGTGGGCGTCACGCTTGTTGTTGTTTTTATGTGTTTTCGTCAACAACCGTTTAGCTTCAACACAAATAAACAACGTTGGATTTTAGGTGCTCTTAATGAGCATGAATTTTATCAACGCAATAGGGAGATGAGTTTAGTCCTTGAGGCCCACAAGAGTGCTATCGAGGGGACAAGGGAAGTTATTGGCAACAGGCCGGCTGTGTTTGATCCACGGGAGGGTGACTTTTATGTTAGTCGCAGCGGTGAATTTTCCCCGCAAAAGTGAAATGGCCAAATTTTATGTATATTATATATATATATAGATATATATGTGGGGAAAGGCAAAAGTAAAAAAGGGGAAAAAAAAAAAAAAAGATAGGAATGTGGCTTTAGTGTAGTACGTGGTGGTAGGGGGGAGGGAAGTGGGGTGAAGATAATGGGATGGGGGTTGTGGTAACATTGGATGGTAACGCCAGCTCACTGGGGGGAGGGGGATGTATATATGTGTGTTACATTCATTAGTATTTGCGTGTTTGTTTGTAATTCCGAGTGTCTGTCGTTGTTAGGAAGGTGAACGGTTTATTATTGTTTGGACGCCTTAATTGTTGTCTCATCCTTTTTTTTTTTTTTTGTGTGTGTCTGTGTGGTATATATGGAGGCTTTTTTTTTTTACTTTTTATTTGAATGGCGATGGGAAGGATGATTGCCGCTGTTTCGGTTACACAATGTTGTCTGTTTCTTCCGAAAAAAAAAGGAAACTGTACGTTTACTTCCTTTTTATTACTTTATTATTATTATTGTTATTAATGACGGTTGTAAGTGGCGCTGTGGATTGATCTGTTAGCTCCTCACGTTACAAAATGCAGCATTCTGTTGTGGTGGTGGATGTGGGATCGAGCACTACCAGGCTTGGCTTTGGTGGCGAGGAGGCACCACGCGTGGTGGCTCCAACTGTCGTAGGCACACCGTATAATAGCGGCATGCTCGGGTCTCTGTTGCAGCATCACGGTGACACATTTGCCGGGGATGCCGCGTGGGAGCGGCGCGGACTTTTGGAACTCAGTTACCCCGTCCAGAGTCGTCGTGTGGCCAGCCACAAGGCCCTTGAGCACATCCTACACGATGCATTGTATAAATGGCTTCCTCTTGTTCCACATGACACACCGCTGCTCTGGGTGGAACCCGTCAGCACTTCACGTGAGGACCGTGAACGCATCTGTGAAATTTTTTTTGAAAGTTTTGACGTTCCACTGCTTGCCATGACGAATGCTGCGGCAGCGACGTTGTACTCCACGGGTCGCACGACGGGTCTCGTGGTGGACAGCGGTGAGGACTGCACCACAGTAAATGCCGTCTGGGAGGGTTACAGCCTGCATCACACTTTCTATTCCTCACCCATAGCTGGACGTGTCTTGACGGATCGTTTACTTGAATATTTGCGGGGTAAAGGCTACGCCCTCTCCACCCCACAGGATCGCTGCCTTGTCGATAAAATTAAGCGTTTCCTCTGCTACGTCGCCGCCGATGCCGAAATTGAGTTGAAAAATTTACGCAATAAGCCACGCCCCGATAGCTACGAGTTGCCCGATGAGCAGCGCATTTTTCTTCACGAGAGTCAGTTCATGGTCCCCGAGCTGCTCTTCAACCCCTCGAGGGCGAACGACGCCGGTTTCGGTGCCGGCGACAGAGAAGTGGGGTGGGCGGAGGCCGTGACACAAGTCGTGCGGCGGGCACCATCGTACGCACAGCCGCGCTTATGGGAGAGCATTGTGCTCGGCGGCGGGAACACGATGCTCCCCGGTATCGAGCAGCGGCTGCAGCGAGAAGTGTCGGCGCGGAATAACGGTGGGGAACAGACGATCAATTGCGTTGCTTTTCCAGATCGCGACTTGGCCGCTTGGATCGGTGCTTCCGTTGTGGCATCGATGCCAACGTTTTCGCACTTGTGTCTTGCTCGGGAGGAATACCACGAGAAGGGGGCCGCCGCCGTGCATTTACGGGCGTAGAGCACAAAAGAGGCTGGGGAGACAACAATGAAACTCAGCGAAGAAAAGATTCTGTCGTATGTAAATAAAAAGGGAGAGATGGAGAGAGAGAGAGGCTGATGCCATCGACAATGAAAAAAACAGATATGAAGGAAATGGAGTAAAAAGAATTTTTTCTTTTTTTTTTTTATGCATTCGAACAACAGCAAAAAAACGTGCCGGTGTTTGCCGCATTTGAAATGTCTACCCGTCTTTATGCGCACGTTCTTCTCTTTTTTCTTCTTACTCTCTTTTTCTTTCTTACCTTTTTTTTTTTCCTTTTTTTTTTAATTTTTTTCTTTTGCGTGCATGCCATAATGTGGCCGCGACGTTAATCCCGAGGACAAACGGAAGAAAGAGTTAAAGAAGCAAAAGGGGTGTCTGGATACACCGGCAACGAGCGACTGTACACGCACTCATTAGAAACCCAATCAAGGTGCGTATACATTACTAGTGACACACAAAAAGAAAGAAGGGGAGAGAAACAACAACAACAAAATACAGAACAAAACGAAGAGGCAGTATCTCTTAGTCGGGGAAGTTGAGAGTGACGGCTTGCAACAAAGAGGGGAGGCGTTACGATGCAGTCTGAGAAGAAGGTGTCCTTTTACCACAAGGTCGGCTCCAACAAGGATCGGGGGCCCACGGTTAGTATCCCGAACATCCCCAAAGTCTTAGACGAGCGGGCCCGCATGAGGCTGCTGTGCGACTATGAGAAGTACGAGCCGGAGCTGCTAAAGCACCACATTGGGACCCCAGAGACAACGCAGACGATTGGACTGAAACTTGTCCTTACGGACTTCGACAGGCGCCTGCCATCAAGCAGCGAGCCGACCATAGCCGAGCGCGAATACGAGGCACGTAGGCGAAACAAAAAGGCCAACAGTCAATTGTCGCCTGCTTTCCCAGCTTCCAAACAGTTATTAAAGCGTGGGGCGGCGGATTCGCAGCTTGCACCAGCCGCAGCATGTGATAGAGCGCGTACAACTACTGTGCCACCCTCGACGTCCCCATCGGCATCTGCTTCGCCGCCAGAAAATGTCTTGCCGCTCCGTCTGCATCGGGGGCGATCCTCGCATGCCTCATGGGTGGCATTCACGACAACACCGTCATTGTCTCCATCGGAGCCAAAGTCGCGGGAAACATCACCGGGAAGAGCCACAGCGGCAACAAGATCGCCATCGAAACAACAAGTATCAATGCAATTGGCGCGGGAAGTATCCCATGGTTCGCAGCCAGAAAAAGGGGAAATGGTGAAGTCGTTGGTGCCGCAAAAACCATTGTACCCTAATTTATCAGTGAAAGACGGTTCTGATACCAGTCCCACAGGAGGAGGAGGAGGAGGAGGAGGAGCGTTGTTCCCTCAAAAGAATGATGGCGTGTTAAATGCGGAGCTCTGTGGGAAATTACTTCGTGTATTGCTTTGCACCCCGCCAGAGTACAGCGAGTCATTTCATTTGAACTTGCGCAATATTGATCTGCGGTGGATGCATGGGACGCGTTACCCTAGCCTTTTTGTGACGTTACACACATGGCGTCCCTTTGAAATCGGTGCCAGCGTTCCTTCAATCAATTCCCCACGCTCTGCTATTGTACTGCTACAGAACGGTATTGAGGTAAATGACTTGATACCGCCCACTTCCATTCAGGAGGATGCGTTGCTTCCGAAAGATCCGGAAATGCGTCAGATGGTGAAATCTATGCGGGCGAAGCGTCGCCGGCGATACTGCGAGGAGTTACTTGAAAACATGCACGAGAAGTATATGGAGTTATGCCGTAGCGTCAAACTAGCCGACGTTGTGAAGGCGTTTAAAGAAGACACTAAGGAAGGGACTTCGGTGGAGTTACCGGCATCCCTTAAAAAGGATCACGAGCGGCGGCGGCGCGCGCTGTTGAAAGAGCGGAAGCGGCTAGAGAAGCAGTTGGTCTTTGCGAGGGATGTGCATGAGCGTCAACTCATAGCAGAGGAGCGACAGCGGCAGGTCGAGGAGGAGATGCGAGCAAAAATGGAGGCGAAGAAGGAAGAGGAGCGACTTGCACATGAGCGGGCGGCGGAGCGTATGGCTCTTCAGCGGCGGAAACTCGGTGAACTTGAGGCCTTTTACCAAAAGAGAATTCAGGAACGTCAGGCGCGAGCGGCTGAGAAAAACGCCCGGCGTTTGGAGGCGCAGAAGCGGCAGATAGAGCAGCGCCAGGAGGAGCGGCAGCGGCTAGCGGAGGAGCGAGAGCAGCGCTTTGAGCGTGTGGCGGAACTGCAGGAGCAGCAGAAGTTGATGATTCGGCAAAAACATAAGGCGAAGGAGGAGAAACTGCAGCTTCTGCAGGAGGGGCAGAGGCGGCGGCAGGAGGAGTTGCATGTGAAGCTGTTGGAACGGGCGGCGAAGTCTGAGGAGCTGCGGGAATTGGCCCGCCAACGGGCTGAGATGCGTGAAGAGAAGGTGCGAAAGGCGGCAGAGGAGCAGCAGCGGAAGGTGGAGGAACGTCTCTCGCGCTTCTACCAAAGCTGTAAGGAGGCACGCGCCCAACGTGCGCTGCAGGAGGAACGGAAGCGGATACGCATGAGTGAAGCGCTCATTATTGCCGCCAACAAAATCAACGTCTTTAAGGAGGAGGCTGCTTTGAAACAGTTGGAGCACGAGAAGTTGTTTGGTGAATTGCAGCGCCAGCGCGAGGCGGATATTTTGACGCGGAGTGAGCGGGAGCACGAGGAAATGGAGGCAAAGTCATTCGCTGTGGCGCGCTCTAAACGCATGACGGAGTTTGGGAAGCTCCAGACGGTGCTGCAGCTTCTCTCCAAGCGCGAGGCAGCGTTAGCGCTTGAGAGGGAGCGTGAGTTGCTGATGCAGGAGACGCGCAAGGCCCGTGAGGCAATGCTGACAGAGCGACACGCATTGAAGGAAGAAATAACTCGCCAGACGAAAACCATGCAGTCATGACCTTTAAAAAGGGAAAAGAGGGAAATAAAGCAAAAAGGAAAGGGCCACAGCTTTTGTGATGTAAAATGAAATGAAATTCACAACACATAAACGTGAATAGGAGCGTGTTTGTGTGCATGTATGCGTGTGACTGAGCGACCAACGGCAAAGAGGGGACACCCTGCATATGTTTATACATTTATGTAAAATGGAGGAGAAGATAAAATTCAAATTTTTTTTTTTTAACTTTTCGTTTTTCTTTTTTCTTTTTTTTCGAGCGAGAGAAAGAAACAAGAAAACTCCCTCAACGCACGCACAGTCACAAAAAAAAAAAAAAAAAAAAACGGAATGAGTCTCTATTTTTTTCAAATTTGCTACTTTCTTTTTTTGTTGTTAATTCATTGTGTTGTTTGGATTAAGTGCTGTTTGACTCTTCTTGTTTTTTCTTTTTTTTTTTTTTTTTTTTGTGATGCTTTCTCTCTTTCTTTCTTTCTTTCTCTCTCTGTGTGTGTGTGTGTGTGTGTACGTGTTTGTATCCTCCTTTGCCTGCGGGAGGTTGACGTCTCTGCAATCTGTTTGACTCTGCCATCGGGAATAAACGAAGTGCATGTATTTGTGTGATGTAAACAGACATGTGAAGTGCGTATTTTGTATTGGCCTCACCAACGGCTTTCTCTCTATTTGATACTTTTGTCTTTGATACCAAAGGAGGAGAGTAACCGACTGAAGGACAAAACAAACAAACAAAGAATAATAGTAATAAAAAAAAAAAAACAGAGGTAGCAAAGAAAGAGGACTGCAGCGTTTGTGTGTTTGTGCCAAAAGGGGCACATTGATGCATACACATATATATTGACATATCCCATTTGAGGTATTTGTCTTTTATTGCATCCACACGGAAAGCCCATGGAGCTTGCAAACGCCTTGACGGCGGCACCGACGCCGATTGTGCGGGCAATTTTTCTTATGATGTCTGCGATGCATGGCGGCGACGCTGGCGACAGGAAGCGATGGACATGTTGCCACGCCAATGGAACGACGGCGGAGAATCTCAGCGCGACAGAGGGATGGCAGACACTGCGTAAAGAAAGCGAAAGAACACCGTCCATGGTAGAGATGCACTATCGCGTGGGCGACACGGGTGACAATAATGTGAAGGTAAAGTGGGTTCCTATGGACGATACGCATTTGGTGCTGATCCTTCAGAACGAAAGCAGCACTTCCGAGTTGCGACAGCCCGTGAGCATTTCAATTTGCACAGAAGAAGAGCCGCTTGTGTCTTATTTACGTGGATCAATCGAGTGGACAGTGGAAAAGGCGGAGACGGCCGTCACACAACTTCGGCCAGCGCTATACGACAGCATTAAAGAGCAGCAACAGCGCTCCTGCAGCAGCAACAAGAACAACAACAATAACGGTGGTGGTGGGGGCGGAAATGAAACGATGGGTTTTACAACACAAACACAGCGGCAGGGATATGAGAGTCGTCAGGAGTATATTCCTGACGCACCTTTTCTCGCGGAGCCTCGGGGTGTTACCAAACCGCTTTTTGCAGAAATGGGGCCGAGACCGCCCGGCTTTCGTTACGGTGAAGGCGACTTGGTGCCTGGCGGCAGCCTCTCTCCGGAGGGTGTCTCGGGTGGTGGGATGAAGCTTGACCCCAAGGCCTTCCACGGCACTGGGGCCATTCCTTGCCGCTATGACCCGATGTTTCCTGGTGATGTGCCGCGTGGGGGCGGTATGTGGGGCCCTGGCCCTGGGCGTGTGTTTCCCGGTGAACCCGACCCAGACAACTTCGCTCCGCCTGGAAATCCAGCCTTCCGTATGGGCTTTGGTCCTGGAGCTGCGGGCGGTCGTGGTGGCTTTGGTGGTGGGTTTCCGCCATTTTCATAGTGCTAAATATATGTATGCATCTGTTGAAAGTGGAGTGTCAGTGCGTAGTGCTTTGCGGATATATTTTTATTTTTATATGAGTTTTTTTTTTTTTTTTTTTCCATCATTATTATTATTATTTTCCGTCGAATCCTTTTTGGATTTCTGAAAGAATCCGCGTTTCTGTGTACGCGTGCAGTAGGCACCTCTCACTGCTTAGTTGGAATGTCTTTTCCTCACTTTAATTTTGCAATTATGGAATGCAGTGATTTTTTTTTTTTTCTCCCCTGTTGTATTCCTTTAAGTGTCGATTGCGATGGTATCGTACAAAGAAGGTGTCACTCGCGACGGCCGTAAGCGCGCCCCGCGGGTTCTTTTTGGGGTGCATACCATCCGGCCTTTCCCGTGGATCCGAGTGGCGCTTGGTGTGGGCGCAATGGCGTACGTGTTTCGGCAGCAGTACCTGGCGCGGTATTACATCTCACCGGAAGAACAGTTCCTGCGCAAGATTGTGGTGGCTCCATACGGTGTCCTTGGAAATCAGATGACGCTGCAGGGTAGCATGGTTCGCGCCGGCAGCGAGCCTGACGAGAATGTCGTTGTTGTGGACTCCGCAGATCTACGTCACATTTTTACGACCGCCGATGGTGCCACAGGGGCCTCGGGAGCCATTTACAACTGGCTGAATTTACGTGGCCCATTCCCGGACGAGGTTGTAAAGGCGGTTTGGCGTGTGTGTGACGCCAAATGGTTCCGGTATGGTAAGAAGAATGCGATTCATGTGATTGGGCCGGACTTTCGTGAAGGCACGTGGTCGGAGCGGGAGGCCGCACTGGAGCTTTCCCGCGCGTACCGTAACGCACTGCACGAGTTTGTGATGAGTGAGGGCGACGTGTTGCGTGTGGCGCCAATTTCTCATGGGGTACACTCAGGGCCACTGTATAGCCAATTGCCGCCCATCACTCAATCCGCCTTGAGCATGGCATTTGAGCAATTGCACATCTTTGATCGGGAGTACCTGTTACGGCAGGACAAGAGTATTGAGCTCTGCATCTTTATGAACAGAGAATGGGACATGTACATGAATGTCTTTAAGAATCAACAAAAGTTGTTGGCGTTTTAGGCTGCTAGAAGGAAAGTGAGGGGAGGGAGAGGAAGAGAGAGAAGAAGCACATGCATCCCACATGATGTGGTGTGGCTGAACCGAGTTGTTCGTGACATCTGTGGTTTGGGTCACTGAAATTATGGTGCATACATCGTGTTGTTGAGTTCCTTCCGCATACACACACACAAACAAACACACATACATACAGTCTCTATTTCCCTCTTTTCCATCTGTCTGCGTGTGTGTTTGTGAGTGAGTGTGTGAAGCAACGCTTCTAGGGTGGTGTGCACACCATCGCAGATGCATGCGTATGCATGACTTATTGCTTACCCACTCGCCGAGGATGAATGCAAAATTTTTTTTTTTTTCTTCCGAACCCCATGTCTTCACGCACATGACTGTTTAGTAGGCATAGGAGTAGTATTAATAGTAGGGACTACTAGGAGTGGACATAATAGTAATTAATAATAATAATAATAACGGCTACGGCAGCGGGCCGTCGTCGTCGTTTTACCAGGACTGGAAGCCAAGGTTGTGGGTGTTGTTGTAATCCATTGCCGCTGTAGGATTTTTTACTTTTACTCAAAAAGGATTGATTCATTGTATTCATTGGCGTCTGGAAATGCTGCGGAGGAGGTTGTTGCCTGAGAGTCATCGTTACGCCTCATGGCCGCTGATTTATGAAACATCGCAGCATGGCATTAAGACATTAGACGTGCGTGAGTACCGCCCGTTGGCGACCCCGATTGAATTCCGCTTTTACCAACGCTACGCCAATCACCCGAATCGGCAGTCCGGCATACAATTTCTTACACACTACAACACCCACCAACGATTCCGTGTCAAAAAGGACTACATCGATTACATGCACTGGGGAAAGGAGCAGGGCCAGGCACGCCTGCCGCATCGTCATCAACGTGTTGCCTTTGACTTTGATGACCAGCTGCACCCCACACGGACGCTTGACAACGAGGGCGACTCCTACGCATGGTGTGCGGAGCAGGATCCCACTTTAGGCCCTCATCCAGACCTGGATGCATCGTTTGATCCAAATCGCCGCGTCTTCTCTCATCCTGAGCATTGGAATAAAATGTTCTCCAAGCGGCGCCCTGGTGAAGGCAGGATTGATTTGCGTGTGCTGCCGTCACAAAGTCTGCTTGGACCGCTCATGGAACAGTCAGACACTCAGGGGGCGGCCTATTTTAGCTACGATAACCGCGGTCACAGTAACGGTAGAGTGCCCGGCCTGAACACTCCCTTCTTTGGTGAGTTTGATCGCAAAATGATGCAGGCCATGTCGAGACCACTCAACGCCGACCGCACCATTACGGGCAATGACGGCCGTTTCTCCAAGACCATCATGATTAATGAACCAAAAACGCATCAGGCCCTGAGTGGAAAGACGGCTAGTGAGTTGAGCGTTGAAATTGACATAGCGACAAACGCTGTGCACTCGAAGCTCACTGTTCTGGAGGCGGCCCAATCCGGGCTGACAAACTACTTCTGTGGTGGTCTCAACTTTGAGATGCTTGGTTTTGACCTCCATATGGCAGAGATGTTGCGGGAAAAGGCGAGGGCCATTCTTAACGGTGTTGCAAGCGTCTCTTCCACTTCTGTGATGGTCACGGCAACTTCTGTTCCTACCAAAGCGCAGGAGCGCGAGGTGGGGCAGCTGCTTCGGGATGCATTGCGGTATGAGGATCGTGTGGATGATGCAATTCGTCAACATGCCTCACTTATATGGCGGGTCTATACTGCCCCGCGTCCATTGATGGCACTGACAAATGGTAAATGTCGGGGTACGGGCTGCGGGGTATCGCTTTACTCCAAGTACTGTGCTCTCAAGGATGCATCGGAGTTTATCTTTGACGGTCCAAATCTGGGCATTACTCCATATGGTGGTCTTACACGTTTGCTTGCACGTCCCGAAACTTCATTGAAGTATCCAGGCCTTGCAGAGTTTATTATGTTGACTGGGACTTCCCTTTTTGCAGGCGATGCACTTCGTCTTGGCTGGACCGATCTCTTTACGACCCTGCCAGACATGAGCTACCACATTAAGGATTGGTTTGACACCACAGAACATATGCACAATGATGCGGTTGCCTGGCAGCTGGGGCATCTTCTTGAGACATGTTTCAAGATGAAAGAGGCGCACTCATCGGCGATGGAGCGTGTTGCCATTACTCCTGTGCGGGCACGCTGGATTGAGGATTCCTTTGCGGATCAACCTTCTGTTAACCACATCATTAACACCCTGAGCGAAATTGAGCGTCTACCTATCACGGCAAAGCAAAACACGTGCGATCAAACGCGGTGTACGCCATATACCCTTACGAGTGTCGAGGCTGGGATATCCAAGTTGGAGAAGCATCGCCTACGGTATACCCACTCCCCGTGGGACATTACACCCCCAGAAGATGAGGTGGCGCTTCAACACGCATCAGAAATATTTAACGCATATGTACTGGAGCGTCGTGGTACATTTAATGTTGTGGTTCATAGAGATACAGAGAAACTGGCCGCCTGGAATCGCCAACGGCAAGAGGAATATCACGCCTATCGTAGTTTACGTGCTGCACCTCATCCACGTCATGTTTACGCTCGTCTGGAGGGTTGCGAGGGAAAATTGGTTTCCTTTGATTTTGTTTTTTCTCTACAAGAAAAACAGAAGGATCAAAGGGGTGGGAATAAAGAAGGGGAGGAATTACAACAAACCGCATGCCTTGATGCATTGAAGAGACATGTGCTAACCTCCTTTGGTATGCCGGATGATCGCGACATTGAGCTAGGCTGGTATTTACCTACCCTGGACACATGTCCCATCCACAATGATGTAGAACTCATGCAGTTGCTTCATGCGGATCCCGGCATTGAGGATCCAAAGGCGCAGTTAAAATACCCACCCATCTACTTTATCGTGAAACGTAACTCTCTCTATTTCTCTGAATGGGCGTATGCTGTAAAGCATCAGCTGTTACTTCAGTCACCCTTTGCACTACGGGCAGCGTACGAGATGTTACTTGAGGTACGTGGGGATGGATCGGCTGAGCGTGTTATGCCCTTGGCGGAGTCACTAGCAACAGAGTTTAAATATATTTCACGACTTCTTCGGCGACCAGACTTTTACCGTGTGGGTGTGCACACTGACAAATCTGCGGAGGCGTGGGAGGAGATTCGAGAGGAGCGTCAACGCAATTTACATAAGACACACCAACCAACTCGACCATTGCCTGACTTTGAAGACGTATTTGAGCGTAATGTTGAGATTGATGGTCACCGATTCCTCCTACGGCCTCGTTGGAGCCCACGCACTTTGCAAGAAGTCTTAGATGTGGATGTGATGCGACTACACACCTCTTTGGCGTACCAGGACGAGGGTATTGCCCCGCTGCATGTTCCTACACAGTGTGCCAAGGCAAACCGTATTAGTGATATGGTGGAGGATGCAGGTGGCTTGGAGGTGGTGCCTGGACTTGGCGAGTTGGACGCCAAGGGAACCCCTTTGGTGCCGCCGCTGCAATCCAATGCTCATGTGCCCCAAAATGTCAGTTTCTACGAAATGGCGCGGCACCCATGGGAGGATGCAGCTTCATCTTGGCGACGTGACGGCTTTACTGAAGGGTCGCTGGCAAATTATGAGGCGCAGTACCGTGCAGCGGAACGTGCCGTGTACGACGAAGAGGGTCGCGGAGGACATAATTATTGGCCTTCTCGTGAGGCATCGGAGGGTGTGACAAGCGAGGAAAAAGACGCCGCTCTTCTACTAGAGCGTCTCTTTAAACCGCTTGAGGAGGCCTTATCGGGGGTTGAACCATGGGCTCGTAATCTGCGTCGCAGCGCAAGCGATGGGAAGCTGGGATACAAGACAGAGATTGCAACACCCGAGGAGAAGATCTACGACGACGAGTACTACCGCTGGTTTATTCAGCCCGGTCACCACCCGAACCCAACGGGCCTTACCAACGTTCACAAGGGCTCTTCAACGCAGCAAGGCTCTGATGCCGCGGAGTTTGAACGTATCTGGCGCCATGTGGTTTCCGGTGTTGATGGTAGGAATGCGTCAGATGAGGCAGAAACAGCAGCAGAGGATGGAGAGGAGGAGGGTGACACACAAGTGAACGAGAAGGACCCTGTTGTGCCAAATGATGAGGAGGAGGGCGTCTAACCATAAATGGCTGTTAGGTGAACTTTGAGAGAATGAGAGAAGGGCTGACCATTGGGCTGCATAACGATGAGGTGAAACATGGCTTTTATTGTTATTGTTATTTTTATTGTGTGGAAACAAGGGTAAGCTGTTGCAAAAAAAAAAAAAAAAAAAAAAAAAAATGGAGATCGGAAGCCCAAATACAACAACAACAACAAAAAAAAAAAAAGACGGGAAAAGAAAGAACTGCATCAAAGGCAACCTTCCTTTTTTATTTTATTCTTTTCATTATTTTGTATTTTGCCTCCTATTTTTATTATCATTACAATTACATTAATTGGTGAATATGCCACACGCATGGCGTTCAATAGATATGTGCATATCCTTTTTTTTTTTTTTTTTACTTTTAGTTACTGTTTATATATATATATATATATTTATTTATTTATTTTCCCTATCATCCTTGTTTCCTCATTCATTCCCTTGTCATGCGCCTACTCTTTTTTTTTTTTTTTTGTGTGTGGGGTCTGTTAGGTGGAGCAAAGAGTGAGGCGAAGGCAGGTCAAATCATTCACGCACACGCACACGCACACAGAACATCTCTACAAGACACGTAAATATGGTGGCGGTTCGTGCAAAGGTCGGTTCCCGCGGTTTTGTCCGCCAGAAGCAGCTGGCGAAGGGAAAGAAGGTGTTCAAGATTGACTGCACCATTCCCGCCAATGACGGCATTTTCAGCGAGGAGATTCTCGGCAACTTTGAGCAGTACTTTCAGGAGAATGTGAAGTTGAATGGCCGCAAGGGGAAGCTGACGGAGAAGGTACGCGTTGGCCTGCGCAACAATGTCCTCACGATTGCGACGACGATGGCCTACCGCAAGAAGTACTTCAAGTACCTCACGAAGAAGTTTCTCAAGAAGAAGGATCTCCGTGACTGGATCCGCATCCTCGCCAGAGGGAAGGACACCTACCAGCTGAAGTACTTCAACATCCAGGATCAGGAGGAGGCGTAGGACGTGTGACACGGTGGTGTGGATGGGGGAGAGTAGCGCTTTGTCCCCGTACACCTTTCTGCGGATGTCTTCTTTCTTTCTTTTTTCCTTTGGTTGTTCGTCTCTGCTCGGCCTTTTTATTTATTTATTTATTTATTTATTTATTTCCATGGCGGAAAAAACAAAAAATAACAACAAAAAAAAACACACACACAGCGGCGACATAAGTTAGTAAATATTCCTTCATTTCCGTCAATACTCACATTTGTTATTATTTATTTGTTTGCTTGGGTTCTCGGGGACATGTGTTGTTAACTTTTTCTTTTTTTTTTTTCTTCTTGTGGGGATTTTTTAGTTGTTGCTCTTGTGGCGGCTGGGAGGAGGGGGCGAAAAAGGAAAATAAAGAACAGGACATCGCAAAAGAAGGAGGGAGGCGTGCCGGCTGTCAGGCAGCTGCAACAGTAACTCTCTGGGCCCATCCACGTGGACAGACAGGGAGTCAAAAGGAGTCGTGTGGACACCGTTTTAAACGCGGAGTTTTGAGCTTTAGTAGTGGCGTTTTATTTGTCCCAACATGCTTCGCCGCACCTCTCTCGCGTGCAGCTACAGAGCCTCGCTCGAGCTGGACCGCATCCGCAGCATGCTTCGTGGCCGGGCGCGTCTCGAGCGGAAGGTTGGACTAAAGCGTTTGTTTTTTCTCATGCGTACGCAAACTCGGTACCGGGTGGAGCAGCAGTCCCATTGGAACCGGGCGATTGTGCGAAAAAATGTAGACAGCGCTGCCCGCGAGCATGGCACCGGGTGGGCGCAGCTGCGCAACGAGTTTGGACGGCAAAACATATTGCTGCTTCCCCGCTCCCAACAGATGCTTGCGCAGTATGAGCCATTGGCGTTTCGCGCGGTTGTCGAGCTTTGTGCCTCGCGCATTCCACCGCCCCCACCGCCGGTGTTTACAAAGGTGCCGGAGGAAGCTTACATGCCGCGATCCAACAATCCACAGGAGTCTCATCCGGCCGCCAGAGTGGAGTTACGACGTGGCGTGGAGCGCGTGCTGCAGTGTGCTCCGTCCAAGTTGCGGGAGGCTGTGCACGGCGATGCCGACAGGCTGATGGAGGCCTGGAAGGAGTTTGATGTTGCGGCAGGAGGAGGAAAAAAGTGAGTTTTATGGCAATCACACAGAGGGAGAGGGAGAGAGTGCGAAGGAAGTGCGGTGAAGTTTTTTTTAGAGAGAAACAAACAAACCAAAAAAAAAAAAAAACAATAAAACCGTGTAGGTGTAAATATTGTACGCATACCTGTGCGGGTGACCTTTTTGCCAGCGTGGTTGGGTTACAAGGGCACTTCTTCTTAAGAAGTGGAAAAATTTTTTTGCCTTCTTTTTTTTTTCTTCTTGTTGTTTTGAAGCCTGAGGAGGAGGGGGAAATCTTTTTTTGTGTGTGTTTGTGCTTCTCCGTGGGCAGGTGAGTCCTGTAGGAAGAGAAGAAGGAATTTCCTTTTCCTGTCCCAGAGACAGAAGGGAAAAGGAAAGAAACCCAAAGCGATAGAAAAGCTTATGTATGTTCCGTTTTGGGGCCCAAAGTCAAATATGGAAAAAGGAATTCGTGGCGCATGCCTCAGGAGCCTCTGCGTTTACTGCCCCACTCTTTCGGAGGGGAAGGAGGAGCGTGCGATGGACAACATTCTCTTTTATTACCCCCCACATGTTGCCGCGAATGCACAGATGAACCAGGTTGGCTTTTGTATTGGCGCGGCGTGTCTGGTGGAGCGATTTGGGGCAACGCGGCCTCCCGACAGGATTCAAACAAGCCATGGTACCACGACGCTGTGCAATCCGTTTCCTAATTTATGGATTGCTGTTGAAACAACGGCAGTATATGAGAGCTTTGCTGTGCTGCCTGTGATTCGGCGTGGATTTGAGGTCTTTGTCTTTCGACATGGCTGGAAAACAATTTCAGCGCTTGTATCCCCCGATGTTGGATCAGCGGAGGTCCTTGAAGCGCGCAAAGCACTGGAAAACTTTTACGGGAATTTTACCGTATTTCTGGAAACGCGCATTTTAGTTGTTGACATTCATGAAAGCATCCGTACGGCGAGGAGCATGACGCCTTCATCCCTCTCCGCATTTGGAACAACAGGAACAGCCGTGGGAAGTGAAAGGGTGAGCACAGAGCGATGGAAGAGGCGCTGGGCAGTACTGGCATTCACAGAGAGTCTTCTTGCTTTTTCCGTTTTTATGCGTTCGACACCGCGTGCGGTACAGTCTACGTGTCATGGTCTGGCTTATCGCTACTTATCATTTCTTTCGGCAGGAAGAGTTCGGAATAGTCTTCAAGGCAGTAGGTGCAGCAACAACAATAGTAAAAACAAGAATCATGTCATTGACCGCTTTTATAATCAATCATCTCGCACGGTTGGCTGGGGAGAAGAGTACAAGGGCATAGCTTCCACCACCGTCAGTGCTGCTACACTGACAAAAAATGCCGAAGAAAGTCTATTGTGGACTTGTTGCCAGTACATTGTGTTTGTAAGTGAGACATTGAAGGTGGTTGTCTTTAACGCCGCACCGGTCGTTGTGTCGAGGCTTTTATGCCTTTTATTAATGGAGCCTGGTCTGACGGATTTTGACATCTTTACGGAAAGTGGTCACTCGCGTTGCTGCATCTCTCATGCGTCAGGCATTACTGTTGTTTTTTTGATCAATGCCGATGTTTACAGATCTATGCATCAGACCATTTTGGAGGTTTGCAAGGCGCTTGCAGTTGATATTGCAGAATACTTGACGAGTGGTACGTGTACCCTGACCCGTGGGGGCCTTGTTGACCAAAGTGAGATGCAGCAATTGGCGCTGACGCCTCTCAATCCCTCACATCGTACCGCTGCTGAATTTTTTTCTACGGTGTCACATCTACCGAAATTGCGTGAGATGAATTTGACATTTCAGTGGACCGTATGGCACAATGGCTTGATCATCGGATCACAAATGCATGAGTACCCCCGTGGTGTGCGCACATTGCTCTCAGGCATGTTACGTGCGCTCACGAGAGAACTATCCAGAAAGACGGGGGGCGTGAAAGGAATTTGTGATGTGGATTCTGCTAATAATCATCACGTTTGCTCTTGCGGGATTTTCGAGGAGGGCGATGTTCTCTCCTCATGCATGCAGTTGCCGTCTGCAGCGAAGGAGTTGTGGATGCCGCTGTCCGACGCATCTTGGCTTTGCGTTTCGCGAAGGTATCATCACGTCGGTGGGGTAGTGTTTTACAATCCTGCTCCATTGAAGAGTTGCTTTGAAGCCACATCCGAGTTGTTTCCGTGCATGTCGTTTCTGCTGTAGGTTTTCTTTTTGTTGTTGATTTTGTTGTTTGTGTCTATTTTTGGTATGCTTTTTTTTTTTTTTTTTTGTCGCTGCAACGGTTTGTTTTTGCCTCAGTGATGCCTTCTTGTATTTACTTATATGTACCTATTTTTATTTACCTTCAGTGACTTTTCTTTTGTTTCTCTCCATTGTTTCTTTTTTTTTTCTCACTATATGTATATTATGTATGTACTGCCCGTGTCATTTATCACGTTTGAAGATTGGGTTGGCGTGTTTGGTCAAATGCCACAATGTGACGTCGATGCACCGCAGTTCCTTGCGAAGTGGCGGGCGGCGGCGGCAGGGATGCCTGTACACCGGAATTTGGGTGAGTTATGCTCTACCATGAAGGGCTCCGTCCGTGAGGATGGGGAGTGCGGCGTGGACGCGTCTTCATTTGTTCATGGAAGGAGACTGTGAGTGTAGGCTTATTGCGTAACTTATTTGTTGGAGATGGTGGTGAAGGCAGCGCAGTACGTCTTCTCTCCAGTCACTCAGGTCTCGAAGCATGCGATGTGTTGCGGAGTGACGTTGTCTCCTTCACAAGTGAAATTTAAACTTTTTTTCAGTATGGCCGAGTTTGCTATGTGGTTGTACGACAAGTAAAATATCAGTGGGGCGTGAAATTTACTCCTCGCGTTATAGTCGTGTTATGATTCTGCTTTCCAGTCTTGGAGTTGTGGCAGGGTTGCGGTTTTGCCACACGGTTGTTGTGCGCGGAAGCCGGAGTTCATGCACCCCTATTGTAATTTTGTCTGCATCCTCCCCCACTTCATTTCTGCAGGATGCATCGAAAGAAGTGACTCAGCGATATGCGTCAAGTTGGCTTCGGGGCGGGGCTGGAAGGAAATAACATCAGAGCTAAGGCGTCCTCGCACTCTGTTAATTTGTTAATCTCAGGGGCTGCTTACACGGATGTTTTCATTTTTTCTTTGCTCTGTTTCTTATGCATTTTCCTAATGTTTCCACCACCCCTTCTTTGTTTGTTGTTGTTGTTGTTGCGCGTTGGCCTGCAGTGCAGTCAGTGGGGAGTGAAGCGATGAGGTAACGATGGACGCGTCCTGCATACTATTCATTATTGTTAATTATTATTAATGCTAGTTTTTATTTTTTATTTTTTACTTGAATCGGAGTTTCCGTGCTGGTGTTTGTTTGGTGGTTTAGCCTCCGGTTGATGGGAAACAACAGCAACAACAACACAGGAAGAGCGACGCAAGAAAGGAGGGAGGGGGAGACATGTCTTCCACGTTTCCCATTGTTCCCGGTTACGACGGCCCCTGGTCACTGAAGGACTTTCTGCAGCGATACTTCTTTGTGCGGCTGCGCTTTGAAGCGTCGCCACCGACGTGTTTTGTACCGCCCAACAATGAGAGGGTTCTCTTTGTGCGCCCAACGGGTGGCTTCGCCGTGGTGATGTACGCCTCTCTGAGCGCACCACCACCACCACCACCGCCGCCAGCACCACTGTTGGTGACGACAGGGGAGGGGGAATTTGCATCTAAAGGACATGACTTGTTGCCGCGAGCGACATCTTTGACGCCACACGGGAGGCCTTTGACGTCATCGCTGCTACGATTTCCCTTTTGGAATTCTCTTTTCACTCAGTTAGGACCCGCGGCTGTCAGTTTCATTTTAGCCTGGTGCCCTGTTGTGGTGCAGTTTGAACCAAATGGCGGGGGACTGCAGGTTTTGGGCCCTCCGCTGAAGAATGCCGTACCGCGGGCGGTAAATCGACAGCGAGGCCCCGGTTGGACGGGATCACGCAAGATGGGGCGTTACGAGAGAAATGCACAGCATCGCATCTTACAAGGGAGTCCTTCTGAATCGCTGATCTCATCGCTCTATCGTCTGAATGTTTCTCGTCTCCCGTTGATTGGGGAGGCGCCTCTTTGTACCTTTGCGGAAATCGATCGTAGAGTGAATCCAAGACTTTCAAAATTATGGCAGGAGCATCACGGTGGTATGGGTGCTGCGCCATCATCATGTCGCTGCTCGGTTACTGCGGGGGCTGTTCCAATGCCATGTGCAGATGCTTGCAGCGTCTTGGCTGTGTCAAGGGAATTGGTTCACCTTGTGTTTCCCTACACTCTCTCCATCAACGTTGATGGAGACAACACTGTGAAAATGGCGTCTGTGGAGCGGCATCTTACACATGTTCTTCACTGTGTTTTGAGTGGTGTGTGTCAAATGAATTTTCGCGGTGCGGCGATCAAACATACTGGGTTTCTGGAGGAGCGCAGTCTTTCTTTTAACCATGTCCGCCCCCGTGGAGAGGCCGGGGCGTGTGCGGCTTTCCCTGTATCGGAACTCACCGTGCCTGAAACCATTATGACATCATACCTTCACAGTTTACTGGGTGGAATCTGGTGGCGTGCACCGCAAGCTACAGAGCGGGTGAACTTTTGGGGAGAGGCATTGGTGCTGGAAAGGCTGTGCGCTATCACCTTGAGTTGGCTGCAATGTGGGCGACACGAAAATTTTCCACTCAGTCACTTTCTGCATCAGATACCTGTTGCGAAGCTTCCATGGTTGCGTGGCTTCTACACCCGAGGCTCTGGGCGCAGGCGACGGTCCATGATTCAGCAGCGGGTGCTCCTTCAATTTTTTTTTTTTCTGTTTCAGCATGTGGTGCCGTTTTTGGTGCGAAGTTCGTTCCATGTGACGTGGTCATCGAAAAAACCCAATGCGTTTTTATTCATACCGAAATCGGTGTGGATCCGCCTCGTCAGTCGTGAACTGCGACAAGTCTGTCTTCGACGCCGGCGAAGAACGAAGAGGGAGAGAGACGGTGATGGTGCCCCGCAGCCGATGGCACTGCCGCCCATGGCGTTGGAGCGACTGACCTCAGATAACATTGTGGGATTGAAGATACCACCTGGAAAAGACGCCGTCCCCGCTGGAACTACCGCTGCTCCGTTGTTATACTCATCCATTCGGTTTCTGTTGGACCAACGCAAGTTGCGCCCCATCGCACGAGTTCGGTTTGCCAACGCGCGGTGGTTGCTGAAAATGGCCGATGGGTTGTGTTCGCCAGCAACACCATCCGTTTGCAATTTCTCTGGCAGGGCGGTGGCATCCACGACCCAAACTAAGAGAAGTAGTGCAGTTTCTCCCAACGCCACGGTCCTGCGGGGGGCACTCCGTTGTCTTCTTGCAGGTCTGGCGGAGCAACGCGTCGGATCGTCGCTGGTGAAGTTTACAAATATTTCTCATCAGGATGAATACGCCGAGGTGCGCTCTTTCGTCGAGGGTGCACGAAACTTTTTTCACCATCCGTTGCTTGCATCCACTCCAGTGCCTTCTGCCGCCCCGGTGGAAAGCAGTGCTGTGGTGACGATGGTACGCGGGGACGCGGCGAGGTGTTACGATTGTCTTCCTCAAGAGGCGGTGATGAATACTGTCAGGCGTCTTCTCCCTCATGAGTTCTACCACACGTTGTCCTTCACAGCCGTTGCCCCATTGGCCGGTGGGAGAGGGACTGCCAACGTGGAGGAAGTGGGTGGACAAGGATGGAAAAGGGCCGAAGAGGACGCACCAAGCGTCGGGGTATTACTGCACCGGCGTGTGAAGTTGCAGACGGTTTCCGGGAAGTGTGTCCAAAATGGAACGCTTCCAGGTATTCCAAAGGGATGGATTATGTACGAAGAGCCCACACCACCATCTGAGTCCGTGATGCGTGGAGATGAAATGCGGACAGTTTTGGGGCAGCACCTGCAGAAACATCTTGTGGTCATCGAAGGCAGACTTTACTCGCAGGGAGTGGGAATAACACAAGGCTCTGCAGTAGCCATGCTGCTCTGCGACATACTTCTTGAAACGGTGGATCATTCTCTGTCAAATATTCTTTCACAACATGAAGAGCCAGCGCTGCTTTTACGACGAGTGGATGATGTCTTGGTGGTTACGCTTTCTCCTGTGGCGGCTGCTAGATGTGATGTGGCGTTGCGCCATGGATGGCCTGAGGTGGGATTTTTTTGCCAAGATGAAAAGCTACGATGTACGACGGTTGCACTTATTCCGTGGTGTGGTCTGCTGTGGAATCCGCAAACGTTGGAGTTTTCTGTGGAGTGGAGACGTTTATCGTCACTACTTCCACACATCGCCTCACGTCCAATGACGGGAAATGAGCCGCTGCATTGCTCTCTGCGATTGATGAGTATTTTATGTCTTCGCACACCACTGACGGTGCTTTGCCGTCGCATAAACACGAAGACCCGTGTGGTGCAGACGCTTTGCGAGATTGGGTTTCTCTGGTCACGCTTCTTCTTAAAGAAGCTCCTGCAGAACGCCATGTTTATCAGACCGCACGTGCGGGTGCTGCTTCGGCCTCTCGCATTGGCCATTGCATCGCTGCGCCGATTAATTAGGCGCCAAAAAGGATACCTGGAGCGTCTTGGCTCCTTCTGTGATGTAACGGACGAGGAAATCCGGCTCTGCGTCCTGTTCACTCTGCATCACACTCTTCAGGAATGGTTGCCGCGGATGATTTCCCAAATACGGCGGCGCAGGGAAGGGTTAAAGCAGTTTTTTCTCCTGATATCAGCTCTTGTGCGACGTAAAATGAGGGCGGCGCTTTTGATGGACGGTGCGTCTTGTGAAGGGGATGATGAACACATCGCTGCTAGTCGCGGCGGTAGTCATGGCGTTGCAGCAGCAGCTGCTGTTAATGAAGATGATGACGTGGGTAAGCTTCTGCTGGCTGAGGGTGATGATACAGTCATTGTGCGAGCACTCGCTGCCGTGCGATTTCCCCCCTCACGTGCATTCACGCACGGGGAGAATTTGTGGCGGCTCTCAGAGGATCCAACAGGAGGAAGATTGAAAAATAAAAAGATTCTGTTGCCGACCGTTTTGAAGTGAGTGTTTTTTTTTTTTTTTTTTTTGAATTTGAAGGTTGCTTGCGAATATATATTTTTTGTTTTACACTTTTCTTGGCTTTTCTATTTGGGTGTATACATATATATATTGCGATCCTTTTTTTTTTTTTTTTTTTTTTTTTTTTGTGGGGGGGGGGGGTTGTTTCTCCGCCCCTTTTCTCTCTCTTGTCGTCACTCACCTGCAGGAAGGAGATGGAGGACAGTGGAGTTATCGCCCAGTGGACCAATAACAGGAGCCACTCGGGCGGCAGGAAGGAGTTGAGCGGCAGGGGGTTCACGACACACGCCGGCGGGTCATCGTCCCTGAATAATAAATCAGGGGCCTCCATTGATTCACGGCAGCAGCGTTCCCTCTCTTCTTCAGGACCGAAACGCGGCAGCAGTCCGACTCAGCAAGAGGGCAAAGGGAAGAAAGCGGGGAAGTTACCGCCCATAGCCAGCAAGCATCAGGGCCGAAATAACACCTCAAAGGGCGCGGCCGGCGCGGCGTCCGGAGGGAGTCCGACCTTGAAAAAAGGACGGAAAGCGACGGGATCGCGAACCCCCACGCCGAGAGGAGGCTCCGGGGGAAAACGAAAGGGCTCCCCCTCATCCGCATCGAGGTTGGGCAGCCGAACCTCGTCTTTTGGCAAGCCCTCGGCCCCTTTGGGCTCAGGTCGGCACAGGAAGTTGTCTCGAGCTTCGTCGGGTTTCTCTCGCACGCATGGGAGTTTGGGTGCATCGGCGTCGCGACGACGTAAATCCCTCAAGAAAAGAGGGGGCGGCAGTCGTTCCGGAAGCAAAAAAAGATTGACGAAGGGAAAGAAGGGAAGGACGCGGTCGGCCTCATCACGTGGTGCCTCCAAAGAGGACATGGGGATGGCTTATATGGCCTCATTGTTCGCGACAGAGGCGGCGCAACGCGTTGGTATCGAGGAGGAGGAGGATACTACACGTGAGTTGTTCATGCCAGACTACAACCTTCTTGTCATGAACATGGTCCGTGCACAGTTGGCCGTCGTGAATGATCGACAGCAGTACCTCAATGATGCCTTCAGGGCCCTTCGTGCCCATGGCGTTCAGCTGGGATCCGGTCAAGATCCCAATGCGGCAATTGAGATGCTACGGTTACAGGTGCAGGCTGAGATGCAGAAGCAGGTAGACGATGTGCGAGTGGAGAACGGAACCCTCCGGGGTTTGTTGGAGGAGAAGAAAACGGAATTGGAGGAGAAAACAGCGGAGATGCAAGGACTCCGGGATAAAGTGAACCGAAAACTTATGCGATTTGAGGTAGAGAGTGAATCCTTGAAGGCTGAGGTGCAGTCGGCCCTGCAAACCAGTCAACTGGATGTGGACCGGATGAAGCGAGATCTCGGCCATCGTATTGACGTGGCCAGCGCATCGCTTCGCACCCCCAAGTATGACACGGCTTTGCGCTCTATGCAGGATATGGTGCGCACTGTGCAGGAGGAGATCCAAGAGCACCATGACAAATTAACTAAGCTTATTGTTTCTATAGGAGCACAAGACACGTTTCTGCGGGAGAAGAGCGATTCCATGCACTCTAACTTCCCAACAAGATATCGTGACGAGTTGCGGAAGCTCGACAACGACCGTTTGCTAAATATACTCGACGTGCTCTCATTCCACGACGCTGTTGTGGAAACGGTCGGTAAGGCCCTGTACGTGCTACAAAAATCGGAGCATAGCACAAATGTATTTTAATCCTTCTTTTTTTTTTTTTTCCCCTCATTATTTGTGGTCATGACGTCGATGTATTTTACGGAATTTGTGTAAAAAAAAAAAAAAAATTTCTTTTTTTTTTTAGTTGTTGTTTTCATTCACGTTTGCCATTTTTTAGACAAAATGGACAGAAAAGAAGAAAATAAAAGAGGAAGAAAAAAAAAAAAAAGACGCAACAATAAAAAAATAGAAAAAAACAAAACAAAAATAAATAAATAAACAAATAAATAAAAAAATAAAAATTGGAGGGAAGCAACTGCAGCCGCAATGCAGTGTTTTATTTATTTATTTATTTATTTATTTATTTTGTTTTACTTGCCAGAGATTCAACGGGTTTCTTTGTTGTTGTTGTTGTTGTTTTCTTTTTAATGTGCAAGTCTGAGAATATCGGAGTTTCCCATCAGATGTGCGAAGGGGAACTTGGCTTTTGTCTGGCATGTACATAACACACATGCGCATGTATGTATTTATATATATAAATATATAAATATATATTCCACGTGCATGCATGCATATCTATTTATTTCTTGAATGATTTCTCTTTCTCTCTCTCTCTCTCTCTCTCTCTCGTCTTTTGCTTTTCTTTTCTTCTCTTGTGTTATGTGCTACCCTCTTGTTATGTGTGCTTCTGTTTATGTGTGTTTTCTTGTGTTTGATTGAATAGAGGCGCAATTTCTGAGAAAAACAAACAACAAACAAACAAACAAACCCCCCGTTTATGGTTGACTGCGATACACCACGAATGGGTCGTTTGGGTTTGTTGCGCATGTCACGTAAAATTTTTCTTTTTCTATTGGGGTTTTTCTTATGGCTGACATTTTTTTGTACGCAACTGTTTCTATTGAAGCATGTTGAAAACGCCGAGTATCGTACGGAATTTCAACCAATTTCTTCCACCGTTATTCAAGTGAGCCAACCTCTAAATGGCGATAGAGTGCAGGAAAAATCTTGTGTTTTGCGGACAGTGGAAAAGTACACCCGTTACGCTGCAGACGCCGTTGCTGCTGCAGGGAGAATTCAACATCGTAGTCGACTGCGGATCGCCGCCTTTACGCGCTTGTGGATTGCACCCATTCACAAGTCCGGTGGCATGCAACTTCATGCCTTTCAAATTTACTCTCAATTAGCTGCACGGGGCCATTACGTCCATGTCTTTGTCACAGGCCCTCCTGGAAACTATAGGCGCGAGTTGATGTACTGTGTCGACCCGGAAAACAACACGACAAGGGTTTGTAAAAACCCCGAGGCACGGTTGGTGGTGCAGCAAGTACCCTCTTCCGAAAATATGGGGTACAGTGTAGCGTGGATGAATAATTGTGTTAAGGCATTCAACATTCTTCACACCAAACAGCCTTTTGACGTGGTACACAGTGAGAGTTGGGCAGCCGTGCCGAACATCTACCAGCTAAGACTTCCGTTTGCTGTAACCTGGCATGGCTCCATGCTTGACTGGTTTCGTAATGAGTTGAACCGTATTGCGCACAACTACCGTGTGGGGCGCAAGGCACCAGGGAGGGAATTGTGGAAGCGCATGCGGGACCTTGCGAAGGCGGTGGCAATGGAGGAGTACATGCTCCTGGCGGTCCCTCAACATATTGTTATATCCGACGCGGCTGAGCGGGATCTGGTGGAAATGCAACACGTGCCCCGGGAACGGATTGCATTGATTTATAACGGTGTTAACACCGGCATCTTTCATTCACGTGAGGGAACATGGATGCGTGATGCATTTTTGCGGAGTCATGGGGTGCCGCCGGAACATTTTGTCGTGGGATGTGGCGGCCGACTGGTGGAAATAAAAGGGCACCTGCAGTTATCTCATGCGATGCGCCACATTATGGAACAGTACAGAAACGTGACGCTTCTTGTTGCCGGCGAGGGTGCGATGGGGAATATTTATGCTTCCATGCACATGGAAGGGCTCTCTGTCGTTCAGCTGGGAATGCTCTCTCAGGAGGAACTTGGAACGTTCTATCATGCAATTGACGTGTTTGTAGATCCCTTCTACCAGCATCACGGTTTGAACACGGTGATGATTGAGGCAGCCTTGTCCGAGGTGCCACTTGTTGTGACAGCCCTTGGCGGCGCATTGTCGGTGGTACCGTGTACAGATTACGGTCGCTTGTTTACTGTTGGCGATGTGATGGGGTTGGCGCGGGAGATTCTTTACTACATGCTTCATCCTGACGAGGCCAAGGCAACAGCACGTCGAGCCCGCGAACGTGCTATGAAATTATTCAGTAGTGACGTCATGGTAATGCACTACGAGAGTTTGTTATATCGTTTGGTGGATCATCCGCCAACTTTGCCAAACATGACAGGTGATGTTGTATGTATACCTGTATACCCGGCCCTTTGCTACCGCGAAGTATCGTAGACAAATGAAACCAACAGCAACAATAAAGAAAGCAAAAAAGCAAAAAAAAAAAAAAAAAGAATAGAGATGAATTGAGCAAACAACAAGCAAAAAGGGCAGAAAAGGAACAAATAAATATATATGCATTTTTTTTTTTCTTCTTTTACGTGTGGATTGGGTTGTTTCTTAAGATGCCGCGAGGGAAGGCAGGAAGTGGAGGTCTTTTTTCCTTTTGTTCCACTCTCTTTCTACTGCTGATCTCCACGAGGGGAGGTTGGGAGGTGGCGGGGCCTCTTTATGAATGCCACGTTGTCCTTTTCACAAAGAGGCCCGGTGATCATTGCGGTTTTTATTTATGAACACATCCTTCTACGTTTGTGCATGCGTGTTTGAATGGGTCTCAGTCGGAGTGTGGGGGATGTTGGGCGCATGGAACCAAACGGTCATCTCCGCCCGTTGTGTCGTCCGCTCCGTCTTTGTGGGCACGCGGGCCTCAGCTAAGCGCACATTTTTTTAATTTATTTACTTTATTTTTTAAATTGACTGCTGCCTTTCTGTGTTGAGTATACTGAAGAGTTGGATACTTTTCCCACGAGCGAATACACTCTTTTTTTTTTTTTTTTGGTGTATGTGTCTGTGTGAGTGATTTTTTTTTGTGAGTAATTGCTTCCATTGCCTTTTTTTTTTTTACTGCATCGCTCGAGTGCCTCTTTGCGCGGCAAGAAAATTTTGTTGGTGAATATGTTTTTTTTTTTTTTTCCCTTTTGCTCTTTTATTTCATTTCCCTTTTCTTTCTGTTTGGCTGCGTGTCTCTCTCTCTCTCTCTCTCTCTGTGTGTGTGTGTGTGTGTGTGTGTGTGTGTGCTTTGGAGGGGTGACGGCATAAAAATGCGGCCGTTAGGTCTAAGCAGCCGGCATGAGCGGGAGTTGGCTAGCGAGAGCCCCGTTCTGGTAAGTGTTGGTCGCGCAGATTTCCAGCTTCGGAGTGAAATGGATCAAACGACAGTCGCTCTCCGGCAAAGGGAGGCGCAGCAGCAGCGGGTGTTTAGACGAGAGCGTGCATCTGTACGGTCACGTGTGGATCGTGACATGCAGGCTTTGTTAGAGGGCGTGGAGGGCGTGTTGCCGCCCTGCGTCATTGACCCGCCAGTCATCACGGAGACTCGTTCTTCGGTCTTTTCATTGCCAGGAAAAAAGGGGGCAGCACGCACGGCACATGCGACGGGAGAGCTGCCACCAGCATCCTTGTCCACTTCGAGTAGGGAGAGAAGAGTCCTTGTTTCATGCGGTGAAGATCGCAGCAAGCTGAACGGTGCGGCGGAGGAAGTGACGCCTTTGCAGGTTGCTGGCGTGCATAGAGGCGGAGGGGGTGCACTACCACGCGGTTTTCCACTCCCGTTTGAGGAGTCGGGCTTTCAATGTGTGACACATTGGGCCGACACAAGCTTTCAAGAGGTGTTGCTTGCTGCGTTGGGGCCGCGCTCTCAGCGGGAGCGCAGAGAGAAGGATGCACCCAGCAGTCGCTTCCTTGTGAGTGTGGCGTGTTATTTGCTCAATGAGCTTCTTACACGTGAGCCCAAAATGTCTGTTATTTGGCCTGAGCTTCGTGATGTGATTTTTAAGGCGGTTTTTCGGCCATGTGAGCCCTCTTCTGCTCCCGGGACGGAAGGCGCTGATGCGTCATTTTATCCCCGTTTTGAGTCCTGCCATGACTTTACGGGCCTGCAATTGTGGTCCGATGCTTTTTTTGCGAGCCGCGCGGAGAACGCCCGGTTGCAGCAGAGGATTGAGGAATTGAAGGGAATCTTGCGAAAAAGTCGTCTTATCCTTCGTTTTGCACAGCGGCGGGTGGATCGCATGCGTCTTTGGCACACTTTTTGTGCATGGCGGAAAACAACACAGCGAGAACGATCTTTTCTTGATTCCGCGACGGCTTATTTTACGCGTGTGCGGCAGCGTATTCGCATGGAGGGGTGCTTCCTGCGTTGGCGACGCGTTGCGACCCATTCTCATGGGTTGGAGCTGCTGAGGATGTTGAAGGAGTCTGAGGTGCGGCTTGCGTTTGTGGAGAGCTCCAATACGAAGAAAGTGGCCACCCTCATGAATCAACTTGAGGAAGAACGGAAGTCGAATTTAATTCTTGAAATGAAAAAGGAGGCGTTGAAATCTCAGTTGGCGGAAGGCCATGTGATTGCTCTTCGTGCGATAGACAATGAGATTCAACAGCATCAGGCAAACGTTTTGATGACAAAAAAGCAAAGCAAGCGTTGGGAACGTTTGGCAAAGACATTTTCATACCGCGTCAATTGTGTGATGGTTCCGCCGTCTTTGAGAAAGTATGGCGTTGCCTTGCGGCTTATTGAAGATAAATACGCGTTGAATGCATCAGTTCCAAACAATTTGGGGATTGAGGCACGTCGGGCTCTTGAGGCCTTTCTGTTGGAGTGGGTCAATTATTTCATGAGGACCACGGTGGGGGGTGACTTTTGGCGTCCCGTCGTGAAGATTAACACGGGTTTGAATGACGGCGACTTTGGCTCTAGCGCACTGCTGCAATTTGTGCGTGCGTTGGAATCGGTGTACATTGCAAAGGGGGCGCAGTGCGAGGCGTCAGCTCCTCCTGTCAGCCGGTGGAATGAGGGTCGCCGTTCAACTGAGGGAAAAGACAGCACAAGTTTGCCTCTGGAGGAGCAAAGTGACGTGGTCTTTACGGAGCTGAGACGCCTGCTCTACATACAGACAATGGAAGGTCTGCACCCCACACTGCTGTGCCATTGCACATTCCTGGACAGTTTTTTTACCCCCACACTCTTCTGTCGGGCCGCACACCCCACCGCTATGCTTTGGGTGCTCGCTTCGCTCTTCGTTGGGTACACACGTCTTGCATGCAGTGGATCAGCGCTGGTGGAAAATGATTTGGACGCCGCCCTACGCTGCCAAGAAGAAGTCGCGCTTCAGGATCGCACCACAGGGTTCCCTTCAATGTGTAATGAAAAGGCAGAAACGGTGCCGGCTGTTTCGGCTACGGCGGCAAAAGAGGGTGGATTTGTTAAAAACCGTTCAGGGCGGCGAAACAGTCGTGTGCATGTCGTATCAAAAAATACGGCTATTCAAAAGCGTCTACGCTCAAAGCGATGGAGCATGGAATCCTTTCGCAAACGGCATGACGAGGAGGAGGCGGATGAGAAAGCGGCCAGCGAAATGGAACGACTTGCAGATACCCTCTCGGATTTGGAAGTATATTTGGGCCTTGACGACCAGGAGGACCAGGAGAGTTCGGACAGCAGCAAAAGCAACAGTAGATGTACAAGCAGTGAAGGAGGGCGCACTATTGATAGGAATGATGACTATATAGAGTTGTCGTCAACGGTCATGCATTCCAGCTCGGATGCACGAGAGGAGTCAGCATCCAAACCAAGCACAAACGTCACAAGGGGAGAACGACAACGACGTGTGAATCGGAAGGCACATTTAATCCCACCTATGAATACTTCAATATGTTCTTTTTCATTTCGGGATTTTGTAGCGTATCATAGCCGGGAGACAAAAAAGAGACGATTATGGACGGGCTTTTCCCGTGTGGTTACTTCATTGGTTGTGCGGCTCCGTGTTTTGGATGTGGAACCCCCGACATCGGTGGAATTCAATCCCGTTTCCGGTAGAAGAAAATCCGCTCTACGCACAAAAAACACATCCCTTTCCGCTTCAGCTCGCTCGGCTTTCACTATTCAGTCACGCAAGCCCATTCGGCTGGTGCCTTCACTTTCGTAGGAAAGACAGTCCCCCCCCACATGCGACCGTAATAATAGGAAGAAGGGCGTTCTCATTTATTTATTTATTTGCTGTCGGCTTTAAATTTTCTTTCTTTTTTTTTCCTCTTCTCCTTTGGGTTTTGCCGCGTTGTAATCGGTGTTTGGCCCATTGTGACTTGCCGGAATCATTATTATTATTATTATTATTATTACTGTTGTGCCCTTTTTATGTTTCATAGGGGCGTAGGAGAAGGAGAGAGGGAGAGGGAGAGAGAGTTGTTTTTTTTTTTGTTTTTTTTTTCTCTCTCTCTGTGTGTGTGTTTGTGTGGGTTTTTGAGATGTAAATTGGTGATGATCAAAAGCAAAAAAGGGAACAAAAAGAGGTGTCTTTTATTTTTGCCCCTCCTTTTTTTTTTTTTTTTTTACGTGACAGGGCACTGCGCATATCATTTGTTTTTGTCTGTTTAATGTCTGTTTAATGTACATATATGTATGTGTGTATGTGTGTGTATTTGTGTGTGTGTGTGTGTGCGGATGTTTACGTCGGCAGTGTTCCCTTTTTTTCTGTTTTATTGCAGTACACACGGCGCCATGAATGAACTGCGTCCATGCAAGTTGTGGGACTTTTTAAAATTTATTTTTATTTTTATTTTTGTGTGTGAGTGTACTGTCGTCCTGTCGATTTCTTTTTCATTTTTTATTTTTTTTAAAATTTCTTTTTGGCGATTAGTTTGATTTGATTGAAGGGACGGGGGGAAGAAGTGACACGGAAGAAACCAACCAACCAACAGGCAAACAGACAGAAGGACTCAGGCAACAGCCGCACGGCTTTCATACTTCACATTGCGGATGCCGGCGAAGGATCTCAGTGATCTTCTCAACGTGCCCGTCCCGACGCATGCCATTCAGGCGGAAAAGGGATCAGGGACGAGGAGGAGCAGCACACTGCGCTCGCGGATGCATCCCATCGCGGTGACGGATTATGGGATGAAGCCGACGCCGGTAGCGCGTAGCAGCAGGAAACAACAACTCCAAGCTGAAATTCTTGACGAAATCAACGGCCGTAGGTCTCAGCATCGCATGTATGCGGTGTTTTACTGGATCTTGTTTCTCCTGCTGATTGTGGGAGTGGCACGGGCCGTCTTTTTGTACTGGCCGGAGTTTTGGTGAGCAGAAATTCCCCCTCTTCCTCCTGAAAGAGGCTGTTGGAGTTGATGGCATCTTAACTGCAAAAAGGAAAAAAAAAAAAACGGATCATCACGAAATGGAGGAGGTGGCGGTGACGCACGGAAATTTTACGCATCATTTCTTCCTGAGAACAGAACGTGATATCAACATTATTATTTTATTCGTTTGCACATGAAGGCGTGACAAAGATATGGAAAGAGACTGAGAGAGCGTATGTGTGCATGTGTGCGTGTGTTCGTGCGTTGGTGTAGATGAATGTGCCTTCAAAGGGCCCTATTTCTCCAGCCAATTTATCATTTCTTTCTCACTCCCTCTGTCTCTCTGTGTTATTGTTGTTTTGCGTGCATATATATTTTTCTGTTTCTCTCATTTGTTTAAAATTTTATTATTTGAATTGTACTGCTTTTCTTTATTATTATTATTATTTTTCTGTCAGTTCATGTCTCTACGGGAACAGTGGTGTCACCTCGTGGAGGAGGTGGCTGGCATCAACAGCACCGATCCGTTGCCACGAGAGTACACTCCCGTGGAGTACCTTCCGGGCGGACGCGTTATATCGGAGGCGGTGCTGCAGCACATCCGCGCTGCTGCTGCTGAATTTGATGCGGAGTCGCGTGCGCTCTTCCACCCTCAAATGACACCCGAAGAGGGGTATCATGCGGCCCCGGCTGTGGCTTGGCAGGGCACATTTTCCTCCTCGCTCGTCAAGCCGAATGGGAACACCACTAACAACAACAACAACAGCAGCGATGATGATGAAAAAAATAACAGTCATAACAACAGCGGTGACTCTGGCAAGAGGCCGCGTACATCGAGTTCGGAGGGGCCGAATTTCTTTGAGGCGTACCGCAGACATGTGACGGCGGCGGCGGCGGCGACAGATGTGAAAGGAGGGAGTCGTGAAACGTTATTTTCGGCCGCCATCACTGCCGCCGCGGGGTCTAGTGCTTCCCGATCACTTGGCAGCGCATCCCGTCTTGCCTCGGGGTTTTTGCTACCGGAGTATTACTCCCAGAAACACCGTCAGCCCGACTTTATCCCCACCATTCTTGTTCCGGCCTCCGTTTCATCTCTTTTGCAGCTTTTTAACATTCGAGATTTTCTGGAGCGTGGTGTCTACATTGACCCACCGACACTGTTTGTGGATGAAGAGACGGGGGCTGTAAATGTGCAGGAAAGCAAGCCAGACACCGTCATTGTGTCCCCTGGAAGCTTTTTGGATACGGAAAAGTACACCGTGGCGTATAAAATGTTTCGTGTGGTGGATGATCCGCAGCAGGTAAAAAATTGGCAGCATGTGTGTGCGTGCATCGTGGATGGAAACGAGTGGCAGTTTCGTGGTTGGTTTCCCAACGAACCCGCCCCCGTGCCCGTGAGTGAATTATTCCAGCGACTCTGTGGCTTCCTGCCGTACCTGGAGGAGGAAAAGCTGCCAAAGGCATTGCAACAATGGCACGTTAAGCCACTCCCACTGACGCGTCGTGTTGTCAAATCGCATGCGCACATTCTTCAGGCCTCTGTTTTTTGGGAGCGCTTGTACACGTTCCTGGAGACACATCCCTTTTTCAAGCTCTTCACGGTGCCGCTTGACTGATACAACGCCGTTCCTGTCGTTGCTGCTGCTGCGGGGGCAGTAGAAGACTGCCATGCCTGTTGCGCATGGGGACAGTAGGGGATATATCAAGAGAGGATGAGGAGAGAGAGAGAGAGGGAGATGCGGTTTGTACAATTGGATGTGACGTGTAGCGGACAGAGGCAGAGCAAGGGAAAACAAATAAAAACCTTAAAGAAAAGAAGTGGGTCAAGCGAAGAGAAAAGAAAGCAACACACATTCAAAAGAAAAAAAAAAAAAAAAGAAACATGAAGGCGATAAAATCCTTGAAAGCAATTATTTATGTCTTTTCTTGTTTTGTATTTTTTTGGGTGTGTGTGTGTGCCTTGCCAGTATGTCAAGGCAGCGATGCTTACATGATGGTGTAGGGGAAGAGAGGCCACTTTAGTGACGCCAATGCTTTTTTCTCTCTCTCTTTGCTTCGGCCTTTTCCCTTGTTGGATTTGCTCCACCGACACTCACGCACAGGTACGGCTTTGCAGACTCCTGACGGGAAAGGCATAACGCGGCACGAGAACATGTTATTGCATATGCCCTTTCCTTTTTTTTTTTTTCTTTTTTTCTCTGTGCATTTGTGTTTATGCTTGTTACCTTTTTGTTGTTGTTGTAGTCGAACCGCACCCTCTTTCTCTCTCTGCGTGTCTTTTTGTGGCATCTTAAAAAGAAGAAGAAGCAGCAGCAGCAGCAGGAACATGTTTCGTCGTATCGCTCGACACACCTCCTTCATTACGGCATGTCAGTCCCGCCAGACGACCATTCTTTCGGTGCGGAAAGGGGACACCGTCGTGCTTATTGGCGACCGTCAGGTGACGCTTGGAGAGCGCATTGTGGCCAAATCCAGCGCCTGCAAGCTGCGGAAAATTAACGATGATATTGTGATTGGCTTTGCTGGTAGCACGGCGGATGCCATTGCGTTGATGGAGAAGCTTGAGAACAAAGTCGGCGAGTTCCCCCAGCAACTCACCCGCGCCGCAGTGGAGTTGGCGAAGGACTGGCGCACCGACCGCGCGCTGCGCCGCCTGGAGGCCTCTTTAATTGTCTGCGGCCGCGAGGAGACGCTGGAAATTGACGGCCAGGGGAACGTCATCACGCCTGAGAGCGACGGTATTGTGGCGATTGGGTCGGGGGGCACGTTTGCCAAGGCGGCGGCACGTGCATTGATTGACGTGGACGGTTACGACGCAGAGAAAATTGCCCGCAAGGCGATGCGCATTGCTACGGAGATCGATGTTTTTAGCAACGAGCACTGGGATGTGGAGATTCTCACACGAAAGCCGGCAAAGCCCGCTGATGCGCCTTCAGAAGAGAAGAAAAGCGAATAAAAACGGGTTGTTACGGCCGCACGTGAAGGAAAAACAACCCAAAAAACAGACAGATACGGAAACGAAATGAAATGAAGGCATTAAAAAAAAAAAAAAAAAAGGAGAGAAAACAAAACAAAAATAAAAACAAAAAACGGGGGCGAAAATCTGAAAGGGCGAGGGAAAAGAAAAAGGAAAAAAAAAAAAATTGATGTCGAAAGGAACGAGAAGGGGCGGAGAGCGGTTTTTTTTTTACCCCGCACATTTCCGTGCGTGTCTGTGTGCACGTGAACGAACAGGCGGACGGAACCGCGCCATCTCACAGTTGAGGTCCCTCCCACTTCTTCCTTTTTTCTTGTTGGTCTTGTTGTTACCCGACAGGACAATTCCTCACTTCCAATGCGGGACGCGTCCACGATGCCAGCGTCAGTGCGCCCGCCCACCCAAACCCAAACAAGAAAAAAAAAAAGAATAATAATCGGCCAATCTGTGCAAGAGGGTGGAGTGGGCGGTTGGCGAAATGTCACTTAAACACACGCGGAGAAAGAAAAAGGGAGGTAGAACAACTGGTGATGTATGTTGTACGAGTTTTATTTATTTATTTATTTATTTATTTCCTTTTTTAATCTGCCAATCTTAATTGCTCCTGCTATTATTTAGCTGTTGGGGAAAACACACACATACAGACATAGACACAGACAGCAACTAAATGGTACGAAAAAATATGTATGATGGCTGGTCATACGAACGTCTCCGACAGCAGAGGAATCGAGCACATTTCCTCTTGGAGGATCCTTACCGTTTTGTGACGGTTCTGCTGCACAATGGGAAGCTGTACGCCATCGACAGCCCTTGCTATCACGCCTCTGGTCCATTGGGTGAAGGGGAGTTAATGGATTTGGAGGATTCCCACACGGCCGCCTCTGTGGCGTGTCTGCGTTGCCCGTGGCACAACATTCTGGTGGCGATCGATACGGGTGAAATCGTGGAGGTGCATCCCGACACCTCCGCCGTCCGCGGCAAAGATGACGGCGGACGAGAGTTTGCGGCGCCGTCGTATCCGTTGCGACCCTACTGGGAGGCGTCCGCCGGCTGTGTGCGACTATCACGCGGGAATGTGGTGCAGCGTACACACAAAGTCTCGCTGGATGAGTCCAACGGCATCATGACGATTGAAATTGAGGACGAGGCGACAATGAGGCGACATCCCCTTCCCTCTGATGCCGCTGCGGGAAGTCTAGAGAGCGGGGCGCTCACAATGCAAATATTTGACATCAAGTCCAAAGGTTTGAGCTGATGACGCAAATTTCCCTTTTTTTCCTTTTTTCCTTCTTTTTTGTTGTTTTTGTTCTTCCCCTTTGCGGATGTTTACTCTCGACAGAAAAAAAAAAAAAAAGCCGTCTTTTTCTGTCTGTGTGTCTGTGGCTTAACACCTTCATGTTTTTTTTTTTTTTTTTTTTTTTTTGCACGTCTCTTCTGCCTCTTTCCCTGTGCACATATATGTGTATGTATATGTTTGTGGGTGCATCCGATGATGTCAAGAGATTTTTTCCTTCTTTTTTTCCTTCTCTCCCTTTTTTTTTTTTTTTCTTTTTTTTTCTCCGTCTCTGCGTTTTTGTGTCTTGCAATTGTTGACTTATGCGCGCAACACCCATCGCCGGTGAAACGAAGTTTAAAGCCGCTTAATCCAAAGACACCACGACAATTTTCTTGAAAAGGATTTCACAGCAACAGCAACAATAACAATAATAATAAAAACAGTAGGGGTCCCTGCGGAAGCCCGCACAGAGACTTTCACGGAGGTCTTATTTGTACACGACGAGGGTGGCCGAGCGAATACAAGTAACGGCTGGCGACACACAGGACGATAAGAGGGGGATTCTCGTCGTAAAGCGAAACTTATTTTTTAATAGCAGCAACAGTGTGACACACGGAGGAAGTCGTTTCTCTCTCTCTCTCTCTGTGTGTGTGTGTGTGTGTGTGTGTGGGTTAACAACAAAAATAGCAACAACAAGAACATGAGTTCTTCAGAGTTTTTTACGGATATCTTTGAAGAGGAGGCACGGTATGTGGGGAAGGCACTTCTTGCAGTGACGGCCGTGGGTTATTTGGCGTCTCAGGCTGACGGATCGACACTCTTTGGCCGGGATGACGTGCAGTACGCCATTGATGCCTACCTGCCACAGGGATACGACCGAAGCATCATGGCCTCCAGGGCCAACCAGCGCCTTGCGAAGAATCTCATTGTGAAGCGGCTTCAGATCAACACTGTGAAAGAACAGGTTCGGGTTGCTGCTGGACGCGAGGCAAAGTTAAGCGGTCTCTTTGAACTGTTCACTTTGTCACTTGCTGGTATTCTTTCTGCAGCGCACGTCCATAGTTTGATCATTACACTCCATGTCATTAAAAACATGACGTTGGTGTTGGTTTATGTTCTGAGAAAAAGAGAGGCGAAACAGGGCTCACGCGGTGGGACGGTGGTATCAACACTTCGCTCCTGGTGGTCAGGTGGCACTCAGAACTTTATCATGAAGGCATTTGTTGAAAAATTACAACAACACCTGGAGAAGTCCCCTTTTGCTCAAGACATGGATGAGGATACGATGGGAGTAGGGGATGGACCACGTTGTCTCTCTGTAGAGGCCATATTGAAGTTGACGATTCCTCGCTGCGTGGATGCAGCCATACAGGCCGTAAAGACCGCGTTGAATCATCGTGCACCACATGTGTTTAGTGTGACCGGCATCGTGACAGGAAGGGATGTACGGAAATTACTGGATGAGTTGAGTCAAGACTTTGAATCCCATCTGATGTGGTCGAATTGGTTTACAACAAAGCCGTCGTCGCCATCATCGTCTGCATTGTTATTTTCCACACAAGAGCAGCTGCCGTCGTTGGGGACGAGCAACGGTGGAATCCAACACAAGGATGCGGTCTCATCCGATTCGGATGCTGACGACGATGTCTTTAACTTCCCTGCGGGATCGACTGCGGTGCTGCCGGATGGTTTTTCCGCGTCAAAACGAATGCAGCGGGATCGTGCCTTTTTGGAGACTGTGTTTGGTCCTTCATCGGAGGAGGGTCCAGAGGCACGTGCCGCCCGCGAGGAGGAGCTGCGCTGCGAGCAACTGGCTCGGGATCAGTCGGCGGGTTTCTTTTTCGAATTAATACACAGCGATTCATTTAGCGCGATGTGCGTCGCACACGCCGCGGAGGTGCTGGAGGAAATCAAAAAATTATCTGCGGACTTGCGGCGCGTTGGGTCGTACGACGTGGCCACGGACTCTGCCAAGACGGTGCACGTGATTACATCTTTTGAGCATTACCGTCTGCAGCTTTTAGACCGCGATTTCAACATTCCACCGTACCTGCGGTTGTTTTGTGAGGAGACGGTGAGGGCAACATGTGGCAAACCATGAGTGTGACAAGAAGGTAAAGGACGACAAACGGAAACAATTTTATTTTTGTTTCCTTTACTTTTCGGTTTCTTTCTTTCTTCCTTTTTTTTTTTTTTTTTTTTCTTTTTCTCTCCATTATACAGTACTTGCAATGAACGTTTTTTTGTTGTTTTTTTTCGTAGGCCTTTAGTATTTGTATCAGGGGAGATATGCACGCACGTATCTGCGTCCGTATGCACATGTGACACCCTCGGTGTCTCATTGGAGAGGAGCGGTCCTTTTTTTTTTTTCCTTTTTGTTTGTTTGTTTAGTGTATACGTGTTTTTGTGGATAAATGAGGGTTTGTTTTTTTTTCTTGGTTTTTTTATTTTTATTATTGCATCACCTTACCGTCTTTTCCTCTCTCTCTTTTCTTCCACCGTGATTGTGTGTTGACAGCAGCGTGGAGGAGGGCTAGTGGGTGGATAGTACGAGCATTAAAGACAGGAGGAGGACACGAAGAAAAGGTGGAAAGACCGAGAAAAAAAAAAAGAAAAAGAAAATTGGAGAAGTTGGGAGTTAGTTCAACAAGCGCGAGGGAAAATACAAAGGGAACGTAGTGGGTACCGGAAGAAACACCCGCGTGTGGACGGTTGTGGTGGCCGATGGAGAGCAAACTGCGTGTGTGGGAGTCTCTGCGGAATGATGCCCGTCAGGCGGACAGTGTCATTGAGCGGCAACTCAACGTGCTGGAGGGCATCGCTCGCCTTGGTGAGAACTCTGGCGTCTACGAGTCCAGGGCGACTGCTGATGGGGCCGCGTCATCGGTGGCGAGGATAGAGGTGGCGCAGCGGGAGTTTGACCGGAAGCGCAGTGACGTTGAAATGGCGCTGCAACAGTTCGAATCGCTCTTAGAGACAATGGCGGAAACGGCCCGTGCGCTGCCACCCGAGTCCACCGCGCACAGTCACACCGAACGTTTTTTGCAGCTTGCGGCGGAGAAGCGGCGGGCCGTTGCGCGTCTTACTGCTGACTTTAAACGCCGCCGTGAGTGGGCCGAGTTGTTGCCAAGTGTCACGCATGATCTGGAGGCCCACAGGGAGGGGGAAGGGGTGCGTTTCCTCATGGAAGAGCAGGACTCCCTGCGCCACACCCAGCGACGTTTGAACAATATTCTGAGTCAGGCGGAGTCTTCACGGGATCAGTTGCGTGGGCAGCGGGATGCGTTTGCCCGCATGGAGGATCGGCTCGTCCAGATTGCCTTGCGAGTCCCTGTACTCAAAAGGGTGCTTGGCCGCATTTCAAGTAAGCGGCGCAGAGATGCCCTTGTTTTGGGCGTAGTGATTGGCATATGTATGCTGATGATGATACTCTTCTGGTAGGAGGAGAAGGAGAAGGAGGTGTGTATGTGTGTGGGGGAAATTCCGTTGTTGCTGTCTATGAGTGCCGTTTGCTTTTTCTTCTGCCGTGTTGTTTTCCGTTACACGGCAGCTTCCCTGCGCCGCAAATGAAATGGCCGGAGTGGGTTGAGGGGAGGGGAAATACAACGATATATATATATAAACAAAAGGAGAGACGAATAATATCAGGCCGAGAAAGAGAAGGGGCGAGAGGGAGCAAAAAAAAAAAAAAAAAAGGGTGTGCCTGCAGAGCCGTGGTGTTGTCCGCATTCATTGATGCTTTTATATTTCATTTAATTTTTTTTTGTCTCTGCGGCAACATGTTGTCCTTCTTCCCCTCTCTCACCATTTCATTCACGTGCCTACTGGAATTCCAGTGAATTCTCTACGTTTTCTTTATTTGTGCATGTGTGTTTGTATGTGCCAAATGAAGACATGCTCTGCCCTTTTTTTTTTTTTTTCTTTTCTTTTCTTAATTCTCTGCTGTTTGGCTTTATTGTGTCATTTCCGTAGAGTTGTACATTGATTGCAGTCTTCGCCGTTTAAGTACGCACGTGCACACACGCACACAAACATAAGTGTTATTAATGCCGGTGAAGTTAGAAAAGAGTTCCACGGTAAAAGGGGCGAGAAGGGCCCAGAAGGACGCAGCAAAGATGGAGGTTTTTGACCCCTTCACCTCCCAGCTGGGCATGATACCGTCACGCATCCTGACGACGATGGACACCGCCTCGAAGAAATTGAGACATGCGAACACCAACAGCAGCAACGCCAGCAACCAAAATCGAAGAAATCCGAACGCCAATGCGATGGCGTCCAGTCCGGTTGTCTTGAAATCACATTCAGTCACAAGAAAGAAGAATGAGTTGCATGTTTCCCTCTTCGCTGAAGGACGACGTCGCCGCAGTAGTGGGTTGCTGCGGCGTCCTTTTTTTGAATCCTCTTCAGTGGCAGAGGAAACACCGGGGAAAACAGGTCCTGCGTCTGAGCCATCGTATGATCTTGCGTTTTCTGCTGTGGACGAGACAACAAGAGCAGTAGCAGCAGCAGCAGCAACAGCAGGCGAGGCGGCAGCAACGCCGCGTAGGACGAGAAACAATAACGGCATGACGGATGCATCACAGCAGCACGTGGAAGGAAAGGCGCCATCGCCGCAGCCAGTCAAAATTGGTGCAGGTATTGACATGGACGGTAATCAACCGTCTAACCAGAGGGTTCCATCTGAGTGTTCTAGTTTGAACTCTAGTATTGCGCATACGCCGTGTAACAAGGAAAAACGTGGCATGGAAAAGCAGACGTTAGAGGAAAATCAGGATCGAGAACAGCCACTAGGAAATAATGCGTTTCTTTTTTCATTTGAAGGGGATGATTTGGAACGGTACACACCGTATGACGAGGAAACGGAGGAGAAGGCGGTGCACCGGTACATGGAGAAAAATCAGACGACAGACGCACCGTGGGAGGGCCGTAAAAGCGAGGTTTCCACCTGTGACTCTATTCTGCAATCCTCACCTAAAAAGGCCTTGGATGCTGAAGTTATTTCAATAGACAATTCTCGTTCTTCCCTTCGTAGTCGATCGATACGGCGGAGATTGTTGAGAGGACAAACCTTTATGAAGGTGAAGACACGTGGTGGGACGGTTCATCGTCGTTCCATTCGACGAACCGTAGCCGAGGGTATTTCTGATGTCACGTGCCGTTCCATGAGTCTGTACAATGCATTTTTCCTGGATGATGCCAAAAAGGTTTGGCTTGTTGATGACTTTGTTCTTGCACGGTGCTTGGATTATGTTGGACTGATGGGATATGAACAATTGATGCCAAATGGAGACCAGGCGTCGCAGGATTTACTTTCAGGAATGACAGTTGGGCGGATGAGATCACCCATTATACACGCGCCGCAGGAATTGAAACGTGGTATTGGTGGTGCTAATGGGGTGCGTTCGTCCCGTTGGGTTTTAAATGGGGAACCCTGTAACAAGTATGCACGAACAGGTGACTCCACTCTTTTTTTACATCCATTAGAGTCAGAACGTTGGTTGTCTGAGCAGGAGTACGTTTTAGCGGTTGTTTTTTCCTGTTGTGCATGGGCCGATGTTCACAGACGTTTTAGTGCGAATAAAAGCAATAATAATAATAAGAAGAATAGCAGTGGTAATGATGGTAATGACAACGTAGAGCCTTATTTCTCGCCAGACTGGCATCCAATCCGACAAACTGCGGCATTGGTGCTGGAGCGTTTTCCCCATTTTGGTGATGCAGCGGAATTTGTAGAAAATTGGGAAAGACAGGTGAGTGTTGTGCTCGGCACGGCCTCCCCATCACACCAGCGTGTGTTTCAGTTTCCCGGGGAAGGCCTCGTGTTTTCTTCGGATCTTGAAGGCGGGAATTTGGCACGTGTAGAGCGGCTGAAGGGGGGCACACCATGCCAACCGGCCTTTACGTTATGGTTGGGGCCGGAGTTTGGATGTGCGCAGCGGCTGTGGTTTCGTTTTGCCATTTTAGGTGTGCGGCCTCAGTGTGCCATCTCTTTGAGGATTGTTAACATTCAACCCAATACGAAATTGTACGCACGAAATGGAATGCGTCCGGTCTGGCGTGCGGGAAACTCTCCGCGGTTGTGGACACCGGTGGGGGCGTGCGTGTATCGCACCATTAACAATGATGAGGATGGAGAATTGTCGTTTGTTCTTCTTCCTCGTTCTAGCGATGTGGTGCATGTTGCCTTTTGTGTTCCTTACACCTACGCCGACCTCCTATGCCACATCACCCACTGGCATCAGTTGGTCAAGATGAGTATCAGTGGGATTCGGTTTGAGGAGCGAGTTTTGTGCCACACGCGGGACGGGCGTAAGTTGCACCTGCTCATCATCACAAGTGCCAACAACAAAAAACGTCTCCGACGCAGCAGTCGACATGAGAAGGAGGGGAACAATTTTTCCCGTCCATCCATTTTGGGCCCGTATGGGCGGTTTGAAACGGGGAAGAAGGTGGTGTTGCTTAGCGGGCGGGTGCATCCTGGGGAAGTGACGGCATCGCATGGTATTCACGGTGTTATTTCGTTTCTTCTTTCACGTGACCCACGCGCGGCGTTGGCACGGGAATATTTTATTTTTTATATTGTCCCCATGCTGAATCCAGATGGTGTCGCACGTGGTCATTCCCGGCTTGATCAAAACGGCTTTAACCTCAACCGATGCTACAAGAATCCCGATCCACAGATACAGCCCACCGTAGCTGCACTCCGAAAAGTCTTTGATTATCTTCAGAAAACTTACCTTGACAGATTCTTTATGTACATGGATTTTCATTCACACGCTTCGCAGTCTAGTGGATTTATGTTCGGTAACTGCTTGCCCGATACGGTGCAGCACTGGAACATGATTTTTCCGAAGATTGTGAGCTTACATGCAAAAGGCGTGTTTTCCTACCAACTTTGTCGCTTTGGGCGAGGTCACATGACAAGCAAGGAGGGCAGTTCGCGTGTGCTTTTTGGCGAGCGGCTTATTCACTCCTACACCGTGGAGCTCACCCACTTTTCAAATAATAGAATGTACATTGACGGTGCTTGCGGTGACGATGAAAACAATGTCAACGATAGAACTTATTCGATAGTGAGCAGTTATGGCGATAACGACACCTGGGAGGCACGATATGCCAACATTCGAGGAGCACGACTGCGATCGGCTACGAGGTCGCAGAGCGAAAAAGGCACGTGGCCACTTCCGGGAGCGGTAAAAACGCGATCCCATTCGAAACGAGGGCGGAAACAGGCGTCCTCTCGACAAGGCATCCCCAAACGGACCGGCCAAAGTGATGGAAAAGCGGGTAAACGTGCTATTAAAAATGCGGCATCCAAAGATGAACCGTTTTGTTTTATTGAAACCCCATGCATTCTCTCACAGAGTGCCGAGGTGGGTCGCGCATGTGTCTTGGCGCTCTTAGACTACTGCGGTGTGGGGAACGAGGCCTCCGCACAGTTGATAGACTACGGCGGCATTGAACGCACATTGCGAGAGGTGAGGCGAAGCATCCGCTCGACTGTCACCCCGAGACCGCCTGCAAACCGAGTGCAGCTTAACTTTAGACAACATTAGGCATGAAAATAGAAAAAGCAACAGTAAACAGATTATATATATATATAAAGAAAAGCAAACAGAAAAATTTTCCTTAATACCCACGTTTTACTTGCCCGCATCACTTTTTTTTCCTTTTTTTTTTCTTTTTTCTTCCTTTCGGTGGGCTTTGACGGACTACGTTGGTGCTATGCCTTGCAAAGAGTGAGAGTGATAGAGAGAGTCTGTGTGTGTGTGTGTTTGCGTGTTTTTTTTTTTTGGTGTGCGTGTCTTTCCATTCATTCAGGGGTGCTCCGTCAATGTATACTACTCAAGGTCGACTATACATATATATATATATATATGATATGTACGTATATATATGTGTTTACCGCCGGTGCACGAATATTTATTTTAATGGTTAACACGATGATGTTTTCTTCTTTCTTTCTTTCTTTTTTAATCCTTTTTTCCTTTTTTCTTCTTGTATGCGTGTACTCGCATTGGCCGTTTTGCTTTATTTTTGAGAAGTTGTGGCCGATCAAATATGGATTCCCATTTTTGTGAGTCACAGTGCATCTTTTTTTTTTTTTTTGTGTGTGTGGGTGTGGGTGTGTGTAGTTTTGGTGTTGGTGGGCTTATGAAATGTCGGCATTTTTATTTTTGTTCCTCCTTTTTTCTCTTTTTCTTTTTCCTTTTCCTTTTCTTTCTGTTCATGTGTACATATTATACATATATGTATATGCATAATGTGTACATGTGCATGTATGCTACTTCAGGTAAGGGGGTGAGGGATTTTTATAGAGGCGATGGGTGGATAAAGAGAGATGGAGGGAGGGAGGGGAAACATGAGGGTATTATTTGCCGCTTCCACTTTCTTTTTTTTTTTTTTTTTTTTCTTTCTTTCTGTGTGTGTGTGTGTGCGGGGAAGTTTAAAAAGGGGGAGGAAAGGAGGAGGAATAATAATAATCATAAAACAGAACAAAAAGGGACGAGCGTTCAGCGGTTCTCCTCCGTGTGAGTGCGCAAAAGGACGTCAATAAAAAGAGGAGAAGAGAAGGGAGGGGTCGATGGAGTCGTCAGGACAGACGGATTGGAGTTCCCGTGAGCGGAGGGAGGAGGAGGCCACTCCGAGTGCATCCGACGTCAAGGCAGGGAGAGAGGCGGACTTTCTCTTGCAGCGCCAGCAACAGCAGCAGCAGCAGGAGGAGGAAAAACCACGGAATCGCGATGAAACAGACGCCCCAGGGAGCGATGGGGAGGGAGAAGAGTCGTCATCATGCGAAGACGAATGTAAAGAGGACAACGACGACGCCAGTATTGTGGACGGCGAAGAAGAAGAAGAGGAAGAGACAACTCCATTTGCCACAGACGAGGAGGCCAACGAGGCACGTGCAGTTGGCATTGCTCACTACAACAATCACCGCTACGAGGATGCGCTGGACATTCAATACCGTGTTGTTCGACATTTTGAGAAAAAGTACGGTGCAACCGCCCCCATTTGCGGGGTGTACTTTCTTGACTACGGCCTTTCTCAGCTGCGTGTCCTGCAGTCCAAGAGCACCGTGGAGGCGGCGTTGCAGCCACTTGATCAAGATGCTCTTGAAGCGTGTTTTATCAACCTTGATGTTGCCCGTGTATGCTTTCAGAAACAAGAACAGGAACGGGGGGAGGAGGATATTGAGGTGCAGCTCAACCTTGCCGAGGTGCACAACAGCATTGCGCAGCTTCAGGTGGAACGCGAGGACTTTGACAGTGCGCTGAAGGAGTACGAGAGTGAGTTGATGACATACCGCTTTATTCAAGAAGAGGCGCCGCAAATGCTTCCATACCGTAGACTTGCCGCCGTGCTGTATGGCATTGCGGATTGCTACATGAAGGAAGGGGATTTTGAAGGGGCTGAGGAGCGTTTTCAAGCGGCGCTGGATGAGTTGGCATCATTTCCCGCCGATGCGATTCCTGCGGAGCTTGTGAAGGAGCTGGAGGAGCTGCGGGAGGACGCGCGGGAGATGAAGGGTGGCAAGTACAAGGAGCTGCAGGAATGCATCCAGGCCCAGTTTGCCGTGAAGGAGGCAGAGGAATTGCCGACGGTGCAGGAGTTTTACGGTGAAGACGCGGTGAATGAGGAGGGGGGCCGCAAGACTCATCCGTATGTCTCGCGCCTACCGGGGGAGCCGGAGTACTCGGCACTCTCGATGCCGCAGTCCTTGACAAACCCCGTGCAGTGGAATGAGCACAGCAACAGCATGTCGCTTTCGCTCTTTCCTCCCCAAGTGAACGGCCGCGGCTCGGAGACGTCGAACAGTCAGCCGGTGCATCATGTCGTGGCGCGGCGGAAGCCCAAACAGCCCATGAGTCAACAACAACAACAGCCGGGGCAGCGAGGCGGGGCGAGTAGCATCGTTGAGCCAGAGGCAAAACGGGCTCGAACGGAGTCCTGCAGCTAGTCAAGACATTTGGGGGGAGTGGAAGGGGGAAAAAGAAGAGCGACAATAAATATAAGAAGCCAAGCGGACATGCCCGCGTGTACGATGGCGATACGTGCACACCCCACACTGGCAGACGAGTAAGAATGCATTCATACATTCATACATACATACAAGTACATAGAGGGATCAAAAGGATCGAAGGGGGAAGGAAGGGAGGCGGAACGAAGAGTGACCGAAGACACACCGAGAAAACAATAACAACAACAAAAAAGAAGACAAGGAGTTTACATGCTTACAAGAGGCCGACGGAAATGACGGGGCGACGTTATTGCATTTAGGTGCGCTCTTGACTGCTCCCTTTTCCTTTTTTTTTTTTTTTATTATATTTATATATGAGTGTGTTGTCCTTTTTTTTTTCTTTTTTTTTGGTTGCGGCAATGCACTCAACGGCCTTTTGCGGCTGTTGTCGCAGCCGCACTCACGTAAAGGACATCAG